TTTCATTTAAACAACAATTGGGAATAGGACAGTTATACACGACAACAACTATTTTTGACAATTTGTTGTCCATTTATTAAAGGACGGTTGTTTATATTCGTATAATCGTATGAAAGCCACAAAACTTGGAGGAAACATTATAAATATTTGAATTTTGCGTATGGATAACAGAAATATATGCATAATATATGATTTGGAAAATCAATCGAAATTAGTCTTCGCTCAAACAACGTATCGAGATTGACGCGCGGAATTGCGGTCTTAGTGTTGTTACTCCACATCTCATTTGATTTCAGGTAGAGGACAGAGTATCCAAATCATTATCAAATGCTTAATCTAAATGTAACATGGAAAAGTGAACGGTGCATTGAGTATGTAATGAAACTAATTAATGATTCGCTTTTCAAACGTATTTACGCCTTTATCGGTAACACTTTCCCACACAGTGACATGGTGACCGTTCGTTATTTTATATAAGTGCGCGGTTGTCTATCGCCTTATCTAGTAAACATTGAAAAACAGATAAGTGTTTATGTACAAACGGGCGCAATCAATTCTCCGATCGGTTTTAACTTTGCACTCTCGGCGCCTCAAGTCACGAGAATGGCGCGTGCTGTTAAGGGCAAGTTCTTCCGTTCTGTGTGTCGACCACTTAATGATATAGAATTAAACTTGAAGAGGAATTTAAATTTTTATTTGTATATTTCTTCTGTGCGTGTATATGTAATTCCTGTTAAACGTCTGGGCCGATTTTAATGAATTTTTTATGTCGATTCGAGAATGGTTTAGATTCACAATTCGGTCCGCTACATTTTTTTATTTATAAGTTGTTGTCGGATTTTAGTTGCGTGTACAAGACAACTTGAAGAGTAATTTAAATTTACGACGAAACGCAGAAGTGTAACACTTCTACTTTACGCTGGTCCTCTGTGAGGTCGTGGTACTAATCCGGTTGTTGCGTGATCTTACCACAATCAAAATTACACCAATTATAATTATGTAATAGCAACCATAGTCTGTGGTCCGAGACCGTAGACGGATAAAACAATTGTGTTCTCAGTCTACGGCAAGACTAATGATAGGTATAGGTAGTTACGCCAATTTATCACTGTGCCATATTCAAATATCTAAATTGTTTACTAATTATCTTATCTTATTTCGCGAGACCTGACCTTCCGTCGCGTTGGTGTTTGGTTTTTGTTCTTTAAAAAGTAAAGACATGTCTACGAACTTTCCTTTTGTCTTACTTTGTCTATGAACTTCTCTTTCTTTCTATTCGACACTAGTGATAGATTATTATTTTTCCTGCAATCACATAAGACGCTCTTTAGCCTTCGCTTTGTCTTAAAACGTGTTGAAAATTGTTAAGAACTGGCCAAGTGCGTGTCGGACACGCGCACGAAGGGTTCCTTACTATCTATAAATACGGCGAAAAAACATGTTTGTTTTATGGGATCCACACTTAAATATTTTTTATTCTGTTTTTTAGTATTTGTTATAGCAAACAACAGAAATACATTATCTGTGACAATATTAACTGTCTAACTATCACGATTAAGGAGATGCCTGGTGTGGTGACATACAGACAGATAGGGGAGTGTTAGTAATAGGGTCCAGTTTTACCCTTTTGGTACGGAACTCTAAACAACTAATGATGTTTAAAGTGACCTTCACACAAATGGCAGAGACGATAGAAAATAGTACAAGCTGAATAATAAAGAAATTGAATGAACGTTAAGTAAATAAGTAAACGTCAAATAAAAAAGTTTTTTTTATTTAGAACTGGCCAGCACTTGACTGCCATTCCACCTGACGGTAAGTGGCGAAAAGTAAATTTAATGTGGAACTTCTGACATAACTTTAAAACGTGGAAATGGAAGAAATATTTTAAGAACAAAACGTTTGCCTCACTATATTCTTCTTTAACATATTTTTTTGACAAAAGTTTAATCTAAAACTAATAATTCTATTTTAATTGGCAAGTGGGTTGTTTGTTATACGCCATTATGAAGGCAGGTTTCCATTACCTTCTTTTTTTCATGTCCTAATTACTTTTGATGGATACAGCGCATATCTTGGTGTAGCGTATTTTTTCCATACGTTTCTGAAATCACACTTGTTAACATTAATTTCCCTCACATTATTTTAATATATTGTTTTGTAACTGCGTCAGGTCGCTATTATAATACTTCTTAATATAGATTTTCTTTGCATTCTATATTGTGTGGTTTTGCAAATGCGATATAACAATGTATATGATAATTATTTGCATTTTTATTATCAAATTTTTACGTGGTAAAGTCACGCAGCAGCTTCTGATGTTACACCATATTTATTCCAGGGATATATCACGGCCTCACAAAGACCTTAAAGTAAAAGTATTTAAATTTTGCATTCGTCTAGTGAGTGAAGTAACTACCCTGTAACCAAAGTGATAAATAGCATCTTTTGTGTGGAAAAACTTAAAAAGCTATCAAAGCGATACACTTAAGAACACACCTCACGCATGTCCATCATGTACGATATCTGGCCAACCTTGCTCCATCACACGGAACTGACCTATGATAAGGGGCGTTAATCGATACTGTCGTAAGACGAACACGAAAACTTATTTCAGGTCATATGCGTTTAAGCGGCGCTGTGGGATTTTTTTTTTTGATGCACGCGGTTGCGGCATGTTTGTGCGTCGTTTCTGTCGGCTTACGTGCGTGCCAAATGTTTGGTGGATAATAGCCGTGTCACGTCTTTGTTGGACGACTTTGGTGTCACGTCTTCGTTGGATCATACTTGCGTGTGTTGACCGCGATCTTCCTGAATTTCAGTTAGTTCTTATCAAGTCATCTTCCTCATCTTTCATTGTACATTTCAAGCTATGGTTATATTTCATGCCACATTGCATTTAGTAATTCACTTTATTACTTATTTAATCAGCCAATAAGTGACTACAAATAGAACATTGACAATAAACATGTTTATTTATACCTCATTGTTTACGGTTCTCCATTTAAGTGATATTTGCGACTTAACGAACTTTATCACGAGATAATGCTAAATTATGATTATAATAATAAACTGGTCACGAAAATTCTTCATTTTTGGAGCTTACAGATTTGTCAATATTTAAGTATCGAGATAAGCGCCTTGAAACACAAATTACCTATATTGATTTCTAATGTCACAAGATATATAGCAAGTAAGAATAAGCGCATCGTGAAAATTTCGACGAACGTCTTGGGAATACATAATCAAAATAAGAATAGTTTAGGAGAAAAATTATTCTTTGTTTAAGTTGTGTTTAGTATCGAATAAAAGTTCGTATTATATTCTCATATTCGCTTAAAAATGATACTGTAATATTATCGTGAATAATATGATTACAAGTTGTACCCATTTTAGTCCCAAGTAAAAACGATCAGAGATCACTTTAAACAAGCGCTTGGAAGAAGCTTCTATTATGAAACGAAATGGTTGCTATATATAATATCTACTCTACTTCTATCGCACAGAAACGTATGCGTTGCGTGTCAGGCGAAATCGAATCACGTAAAAGTCTTTGTTAATTCGTAATTGCTAGTCGAAACAAGTAAAGCAATATTGGCAAGCAATTTCGTAAAATTAGAAAAATAATGCGAATATTTTATATAGCGGCACGCCCTGGCTTCGCGCGGGTGACAAAATGTTCGTGGTGCTACCACGGCAACCAATAACAACTTTTTGACATTTACCATATCTTTATATGTATAATCCTTCTGTACGTGTGTATGTATTGTACTGAATTCCTAAACGGCTGGACCGATTTTAATGAAATTTTTTGTCTTCAGGTCGATTCGAGAATGGTTTAGATTCACAATTCGGTCCACTACAATTTTTTTATTATATTTCTAACCTTTCGAATTTAAGTCGTGTGTACAAGACAACGTCTGTCCAGTACGCTAGTTTTTGTGTAATTTTGTCCAAGAAATTTAAATTGTTTATAGTGCTAATCTTTGCACTTAAGATTGAACATTAAAATATGTAGAAAAAGTGCGAAAAGATTGTCGCCGCTGTGGGAATCGAACCCACGTCTTGTTCGCGGCTGACGCTCTAGAATGAGCTAAATTATTACCAACCGAAAAAAATCTTAACGTATAGGTAAAAGTTTTAACGTATAGGTATAACTTATAGATATTATTATTGACATTTCTCTATCGATTAAATATGTTTTCAAGCTCAAATATTTTTTAAAATTAAAACTATTCTCAACTAAACTAAATTATGTTGAACTTTTATTTATTTCAAACCTTACCAATAGGTTCGTAGGTGCATATTTTTATATATCAAGGAGTCTTATCTAATTTAGGTTATTAGTGGATTAGTTTAGGTCCAAAATGAGTCCGACACAGACCGCCACAGTTCCATATGGTCTTGTTTTAGGGCCATTAGAGTGAATACATTTTCTTAAAAGCTTAAGGCGAATATAAGAGCTTTCTGTACTTGAAATAAGTACGCAAAATTTCGTGTATAAGCTACTAACCGTTGACACATCTCCCCTATTATTTTAGGTATTGTCTTCAAAACTGCAACAAGCATGAAAAAAAGTATTATTACTTAAGATTGGTTTCAATTTAGCTTGGAAGATTTTAATTTCACATATTACACGTGCGGTTAAGAAATACGTTTCAACCTACATCTTTTGTAAATAGACTTTATAAACTTTCAGTTCCAATATTGAAACATTTACAGGTAATCTGCTTCGAAAACTTTTCACCTTAAACAAGACAGAGTTAGAAGTATCTTATGCGCTTCTGTCTTAAGTAAAAAAGTTTTAATTTATGTAACCAAACCGATTCAACGTTTCGAGTATTTGAACTCGATTACCGGCCAATTGCCGACGAATTGAGATTGGCGGTAAGCACCAGTTGGTACAATCGATATGGATACGACTCCCTTTTAAAAAGGGTGGATACGTTATATTTTGGTAACGCAATGAACAAACTTCGCGAGATTTTCAGCTTTATTTCATGAACGCAACGCTACGTTCGACGGACTGGGCCTTTGGCGACCGCAAGTTTATTTTGGCGGGTCGACCGTAAGTCAAGACGGCGGCTTTGACAGGTGGCATAAAACTCTATTTACGATCGGCAAGTTCGCGAGCTAAGAACATGAAAGAGCGTCACGAAACCCGGAAATACATGTACTGAATATAAGTATTACTCGTGTTCATGACATTTTTACCACGATAAATCCCACGTTGGCTTTTTGTCTTGCCGTGGTTTTACCAAATCACTAATAATTCTAAATATTTTTTTTAAAGATAGGAAATCACATGAATTTATTTTCAATTAATCGTTAAAAGAAAAAGATTTTAATGAATGACATTGGATAAATTATTAGCGATATTTAAGAAACATTTAATATACATATCTCTTATATTATGAAACTTGATGTCCTAATAATATATTAAAAATTATATAAACTATTGAATCAGTTCAAGATTTTAATGGCCGTTAAAGTTGAAGTACACTGACATTACGATGGCTTATGGACCATGGAGAACGTAACGCACCTAGTAAAGTTTCTAGACTTAGTTTAACTTTTGTACTTGTACTCGTACTAATTTCATAGACTGTGTGAGTTTCTGGACTGTGTAAAATATCTAGTCTGTGCAAACTTAAGTCAAGTTCCTAGAATGTATACTGTTTGATTGCGGCGGAATGAACTGCTTAACTAGAGATCAAGTGCATAGAGATAGATTTCAACATAGCCTGGTTTTCAAGTATTCATCGTAAAAATGTAATTTAAGAAAGTGATATTGCTACAAAGGAATCACATGAGATAACGCAAAGTATTACAACAAATGCAATAAAAACAAATTAGATAAGACGTATAAAACTGTAGCATTTTTTCTTTTTCTTTATCACTGCGGCCAGGATTCGAACCTGCGCAAGGAAAGAGGAATGTTGATATTGCGTCTGGCCTCTCGGCCTATCGTCAATGACTCGGTAGGTCTGATGAAGCAGTAGAGGAGTCGTGGCCGAAAGCGGCGGTGCTCAAAACACGCTCGGGGCCGAAGACTTACTGTTTGTTAGCAGTAACTCTATTGGCTCCCATGGTCTCCGGGCAGCGGTCTCATGGGAGCCCGTTGCTCGTGCCTAAAGTGCTTTACCTGGGATTCTCACCGGCGCGGTCACGGATATGTGCGAAAGCAGCGAAAGCGTTCCTGTGACCACGCCAATCAGCGCCGAGGTGGAACATCGTAGGGATCTTATTCTGTCTTAAACGGGTAAGCATTTCCCTACGTATTAATACAGCTGCCTGAGCTAGCCAACTGAGGCATCAGACATCGTGAGGCTATAAGATCCGCGGATGTTGCGTTTAAACGGTAACCGCGTTCCGTTGCCACGGCCACCCAAATTCCCTTCCACGAGCGATGTCTCCACATGGCCAAACGACATTGTCTAATGCCCGTAAATGATGGGACGCCGGTGACCCAGTTGTCTTCTCCCCGTTCGCACAGTCACGCAAGACGCCGGGACGGCGTAACCGAGCCTCCGACGGAATTTCGTTTCTGCCGAAACTAATTCAAACTTTGAACTTTGATGAGACTCCGTTTGCCGCTTTTATTGCACCATAGATAAGAAAGTTTTTTTTTTAAGTTTATTTGGATGATCGATGTAATTGTATTGCAGCCTACAGATTATGCTACAGAGCAGTAGACCAAGACTATTAACAATCAGCGTATTTTTTTCCGTTAAATTTATTGCAAACCTATCATTAAAATTACACAGATACAATGTAGTGTGGATAAAATAAAAAAAAATACGCTGAATATTTTCAGATTCGCAGCAAATCGCATAATTTTCGGTCCGATTGAGATAAATAAAGTATTAGATAAAGGTTTTCGAAAAGCAACTTCCTAGGTAATGTATTTAAAGAGTAAGTACTACAAAGTTTTTTAAAGTTTTAAGGTTACGGAACTCTCAATAAGTCCCTTTTATTTTATGGAACCCCCCACAAATTATATTTAAATTGAACTGTCTTTAATTTATAATTATACTTTAGTATCAGATCAAAAAAAAATAATTGTAAAAGTTTAAAAAGCTTCTACACTTTATGGTATATTTCTCAAATACTTATTTATCCAACAGTTATCATTTCTATTGTAATAGTGATTTATCAACGCGAATCTACCCATATCGTTTCTAAATTTGTTACTTTTTTGAACAATATTGCTTGGAGGAACTCTCGAAATCATGCTAAATTTTCTATGGAACCTTTGGGCACCATAGTAATGAATCAACAATGATTTGTAGATTAAAAAACAGCAGCTAAGATTAGCTGTGGAAAAAATCCCCTTCGCGTGTGAGCAATTATGGAAGGAATATCTTTACAACATAAAATATTTTTTCAACGATTTCAAAGTTAGAAATCAATAACAACGTTAGAAGCGATAAGATAAAGAGTCAATGACCGTGTAAAGTTTCATATCAACGGGACGTGTTTGCGTCATTTAATATTTTTTGTAAGTTTAGAATTGGCACTTGGTACTTTGTACATCGGAGAGACACACGATAAGATCAAATTAACTGTAAACAGAACTTCTTGAACTTTGCCAACAACAACAATGTATTGGTTAAAATCGCTGTTGCTACTTACAATAACTGTGATCGAAGCATTTTACATCTCTGTACATTTAGGTATCGCGTTTTAGCAATAACTACATTATACTAATCGATATAAAAATTAGGATTTTTGTTTTGTGAATAAGCTTAGGTTTAAGTTCTACGTAAATGCCAATATACAAATTTCGGTAACGGAGAGTAACATGCATTTAGATGGGATTGTATGGCTCAATAATATATAGAGATATGAATAAAATATCAAACAAATTCTCTGATGATATATATACGAAAAATTTATCTATAAATAAATTACTATTATGTAAAAAACATTATAATTTATGAGTAATGTATTTGTTAAATAATTTGTGAGACATATGGTATTTTAGTATTTATAAATGTTGTAATTGTAATTATGCGTAATTTTGTATAATGTTTAATTTTCGATTAAAATATAGTTTAATTATAATATATTTTGATAAGTTTATATATTTTAACTATATAAAGGTACGACTTCCATTATAAGTAATTATTATAACCCGCGAATCTCCGTGCTATAATACCTCCGATTAGGTACCTCAGTATTCGAAACGCTTATTCAAGTAACGTCAGAAATTGCTGCGTTGTAATGTTGCAAAAAAAAATACAAACGTAACAAGTTTCATTAAAATAAAAGTCAGGTATAGTAGAGCCGTGATAGCTCAGGGTCCGGGCGCTCGCCTTTAATTCAATATACTCGAGCAACCTGAGTTCGATCCCCGGTGCCAATGAAGTTTTAACTTTAAGTGCTGACTTATCACGTGGTCCCCGGTGAAGGAAAACATCGTGAGGAAACCCGCATATTTTCGAAATTATAACAAAAAATATATATTTCGAAGATATGTGAAGTCCGCCAATCCGCAGTGGGGCCGCGTGGTGGACTATACCCTGATACCCTCTGTATACAGGAGACCTTTGCCCAGCAGTGGGACATGTATAGGCAAGCGAGCTGGCGGTTCAACTAATGTTAAGCGATAACAGCCGCCAATTCACATTCACAACACCCGCAGAGTTACAAATGCGTTGTCAGCATATCATCAAGTGTGCCCTGGCTACGTCTCACACCATACGAAACGCAGAAGAATTCACGCCTGTCTTCTATGAGATCGTGGACAGACCTGCCCTTCGTGCAACAGCGAAGACTGTTTGGTATCCCTACCACAGTCAAAATTAGTGAAAATGAGGTCCTTTGCGGTTTCTAATTTATGTATGCCATCTGTCGATAAGCCTATCTTGCATTCCAAAAGCCATTTGCCAAAACGGCCTAATGTCAGAAACATATTAGCATATATCGCGAACATGGGCTTAAGATATCAAGAAATGTTTCGCATTTGCGGGCTATCGGACGATGAACTCAAATCAACTTACGCCGAATTAAATAATTTTTATCTGATGTAACAAAGGATCATTCATGTTGGCGGTTTGTGAGAAAGATCGATGTCCAGTGGAGGACTAAAACAGGCTGAAATCACTATATGGTATAAAACAAAGTCCCCTATTCACTAGTGTAGTTTCTTCTTAGTATCATATGCTACACACATACGAGTTTTTAGAACGCAGTGGAAAAGCATGGTGTATTAATTTTGTAAATGTTATCAGGTCGACTAGCCTAACGAAACTAAGGGGTGATCAGTCAAGCAGGACGCTTGTAAATAAACCACCCTAAAATTAAAATAGTTTTTTATCAGTACAACAACCCGTCTCATAGGGTTCACACATAGTCCTGTAGCAACACAGGACTCGACTACTGTTTCGTGACCCGATAAAAAATAGCCACAGATATTGATTATACAAACGGCTGCTATAATGATTTTAGCAGGCGTTAAGCATTTACCAGTGCCTTGTGTTTGTGCTATGCTCGCAATATTTTTGACATTTTTACATTTGTTTAAAAGTCCAGTTTTACCTTAACAGGTAAGATTTCTTTAATCAAAAAAATTTTAATTGAATTCGATTGTCGATTGTATAATAGTAGTATAATAAAATTATATTAATAATACAATGATCAAAACTAAAAAATAATACACCTATCGTTGCATTACTGTAATAATAATTTTGCAAAGCAATTTGCTGTAACATAGAATATTTTAACATAGAATAAAATTAAATAATTGTTGTCAAAAGCCCTACTAGATAGTCGGTGTTTTTATACTCTTTTGTTGTTAAAGTTAAGGAAAACTGTTATGTTTCATATATTTAATAGTTTTCTTTAATTTTAAGTGAAAATGGTTACTATATCATATTGATAATAAAATATATTTGCTAATCTGAATAATTTTAATTACGGCATCATTAAATTTGTTTTGTTTATCAATCAATTTATTTAGTTGTCCTGATTGCGTTGCTAGGCTACGAATGATCAATGACAAAATATGTGAAAGCTATTGCGTGTGTGCGCAAAGTGAATCATCAATGCTGTTAATCATTATCGCTTAAGTACATTCAGTACATAATCCACATGTACATTATTATTCTCATATTCACAGTTGAAAAAATAAATAAAATCGACAAGCAAAGTAGATTAAGTAAGTACTAGATTGAGTCTGTTAGATGACGATTGTATTTAGGCAAATGACAAAAACTTATTCTTCTTCCTTTAACATGACACAGCGGACAGTTGTATTATTAGGTAAATGGAAGTTATTGGTTTAGCCGTATTGAATATGAAATACTTAGAAAAAAACGAACTATTATATCGTTCCCTATTGCTTGTTATCGCGATTATTATGGATTGGAAAAATGGTATTAAAAATTGTAAAAGTTAATCATTGTCGTATTTAATATTGATAGAGTTTGTCTGTAATCTGAATAAGTAGAAGCGTGTTTTGGCTACAAAGAGCTGTTATTAAGTATCACCGTAGAGGTTAAATTTTGTTTTGCAATATATTCCAAACCAATATAACTTTCTTATAGTAACATTAATTAGTACATAGGATTATAGTGTATTTCCCCTTGTCTTGCATTCATACTTCCCCGTTCTATATCAAATATGTTTCCGCCAAGTGTCTACAGTAGGTACCGGCAGTAATTAGATGCCTAGACAGATAGCCATTCTCCACCACCCTACGGAAGCCTACACAGCTTGTTCGTGCCATAGCTCGGTGCATTTTCTTGGTTGTTTTATTAAAAACTTGGAATCGTTTATTTTTCTATAAACTTATTGCATGTTTCCCACCCTTTTCCTGTTTAACGGTTAACCGCTAATTTGCTATTTGCCAAAAATAAAAATGTGTACCGAATTTAAGTCTTCACGTTGTTATTATTTTGAAGTGAAACACAAACGAAAGTTTAGAAAGAAAGTGACTTTTCAGGTAAATTGTTAATGTTTAATTTTCCATTTTGTTAAAGGCTTTAAACTTCTCTAAGATATGTAAATGTGAAGGTGTAGTTTTTTTTTTTTTCAATTTGTTTCTCAGATCAGCTCTTCTCTAACGGATACTTTAATTACTCGCACATGGAAATTAAATGATAGATTGAGTTCTAAATAAAGCGCGGAGACTGACCAGTAGCTTATATCTTAGTTTTTCAGCCGACTTCAAAATAGGAGAAGGTACTCAAATAGTTCATATTTTTTTTTATCTCAGAACTACGTCGGTACTTTTTGCATTGGATCCGGTTTAGCTCCATCCACCACATATTAATTTCATTGATATCTGAGCAGTGACTCTGGAGATAGATCAAGGTACATACTCCTCAAAATCAAATAGAAAATGTATACTGAGTGAGGTATGAAGTCGGTTTTGTTTTTGTTGCTAAAATATTAGGGACCACATTTCATGATTTCCTCTTTTCACTTGTCAATCCCTATGAACAAATTAAAAAAGTGGCATCGGCATTTCAGAATAAAATTCAGTATTTCTTCTTTCTCATTTTTAGATCTAATATATGGACTTTATTAATTCTAGTTGCCGACAAGGGAAGGGTTGACTACGCCTAGGAGCGCTCGCGCTTCTATTGGCCGTAGACCTAATACTCTACCACATCAACGTTTCAAAAAGGAGGTACGTAGATCAAAATATGTTTAGCAATAAACTATCTGTTAACAGTGACTATGTTAGTGTGAACTTTAACAAAAAATGTTTTTGTGTAAATTCCTAATTCTTTGTCTGAATTAAATTTTTTGCTCCTACTAAAGTATCTGGCTATGAAAGGCCGGCTAAAGTTTAACATTTTATTTATTATTAATATTATTTATTGGTATACCTATAAAGGTGCATAGATTTTTAAATTTGTGATCTTTATTTATATCACTAACGTTAATTAGACTTCAACCTGCCCCTGCTTCGCATGGGTGCAGTGTATACATAACCATAAATATATAAACCTTCCTTTTGAAACACTTTATCCAGTAAAAAAAATGCATCAAGATCTAATGATCTAAGCATATATAGGATAGACAGACAGACAGCGGGACGATTTTGTTCTTTACTATGTAGTGAAGATGTTTTTATTCAACAAAATAGAAGGCAGAAGAAAGTCCACCAGAGATGGATTCGCCAGGAAGTATCAGTAGCGATCTGCGACGGCAAAATGAGGAGCTTCGCGCACGCCTCGCTGGTGAATCTGCTGACCACAAGCGCAGACTCGAGGCTTACCGCCGAGCACAGCAGGGGCAAGCTTCTTTGGTGTCAAGACTTCAAGCTAAGGTATATGCTACACTTGTTGAGTTTGTCCTCATGTACTGGTGTGTAGGCCATCCATATTGGCAGGGTTGCGGGCAAGCTTTCACACATTTCCGCAACTTTAGGAGTTGCATTGGCCACTTCCAGCCCTTCCCCGAAAATAAGCCCTCTATTCTCTAGGTAAGGGGTACTGAACCATAGCGTCGGCTGCCGGAAGGTCATGGGAGACAGGAATCGGATCTTAAAATCATTTTGGTAAATCGGACGCCGGACGACCTACCTAACCGGTAAATGAAATAAGATTCGCCAGGAATCACGCTGTGCCTGTTGTGTGTAAGTTTGTATGTGCAAGGTGTGCACGTTAAGAGCAGTGGCACTGTTCATGCCACAAGGATGTGGTAAATCCTAGCAAGTGTAGCAAAATAATTAACCGATTATTACTGCAGGTAATTTTTTAAGCCAGATTCGCGTTTTGGAAAAGAAATAACCCCAAGTGTCTTTTCATTTCGTGTTTTAATCTTCAATAAATTGGCAATATTATTTTTCTGTCAATGTCAAACTGTCAAATATTTGTTTTTTTCATCAGATTCGGCGGCGGGTGCCGATTGTTTAAAAATAATATTGATGATTTCTATCATTATGTCGATGATGTCTTTTCTTTTATTTAAAGATACACATTCACGCCAAATTATAATGGCAAAAGTCTTAGTAAATGTCAAATTTATTTTTGATAGCAATTACAAAGGATTTTTAAACAAACTTAGGTACTTCAATACAAGCAGCGTTGTGCTGAACTGGAGAATCAAATGCTGGAGTCGACGCCTCGTAGTGATCCTTCATACCGTCAGCCCAGCAAGACATGCATTGCGCTCCCGGCGCCGGCCGCTCTGCCCACCCCGTCGTCTTCGGAATACCAAATGGATGAGCGGATAAACGACTTAGAGACAGCATTGCGTCGCCTCGATGAAGAAAAGCGCAAGTTTGTGTTGTCACATTCAAAGAAAATGCATTAGTGCTCTGCGCAATTATTTTTTTTACTTTTAACCATTTGTTTTGTAGATGTGAAAAACTTTTATCACAAAACAATTTGCTACGTGATCAACTAGAAGAGTCTCACCAACTTAATGAGGCCCTTACCAACGATCTACAAAAGTTAACTAATGACTGGGAGGCACTTCGTGATGAAATGGCTATAAAAGAGGATGAATGGAAAGATGAGGAACAGGTTTGAATTTCTTTTTTATAATCTATTAATTGGCTTATGTTAAGCAAATGAAAATACCTTAATGTTTATTATTGCAGGCTTTCAACGATTATTACTCAAGTGAGCACAATCGTCTGCTCAGCCTGTGGCGTGAGGTAGTAGCTGTTAAGCGCTTCTTCTCCGACCTGCAGACCAGCACTGAGAGGGATTTGTACAAAGTGAAGAATGACTTTGACTCGGTTACAAGAGACTTGGTTGGCACTTTGAGTGGATATGCTATCACTTCATTTGCTTCTCAGAATATAAAGGTAGGGCTTTAAGAGCCTATTCTTATCTAAAATACATTCAATACAATGCTCATTGTCTAGTGTTGCAAATAATTGGTGGTAATTGCTTGCATCAGACAGCTTCTTCACTTCAAAAAAAGAAAAGTTAAAAACCTTAATAATGTCTAAACAACCTAAGTATAGAGTAGATTGTGATATTAGTTTTTGATTGTGTGATATTTGTATGAAAGTGAAAATATGTTTGTGAAGGCTTGACTGTATTGTGGGTGTAAATATACTGCTAGTTCTTTTAAGGATTAATTAAAGATACATGAAGAAAAATTATATTATAGTAAATGTATATTTAGCTTATATCAATAATTATTATGATATAAAATTATATGTAAAAGACTTACTTATAGACTGCACTTTACAATAGCCTTATGTTTTTTGGCTAGTTGTTTTTCACATGTTTACTTCTATGAACACACAAATCAGACAATGATTGATAGGACTAATGCAGAAATACTTGTCCTTCAAACTCAACTATAAAACTGTTGGGCGGAAACCTTTCATTAAGCAGCTGCTTCAACAAAGCCATGGAATTAATTCTATTATTCTATAATAATACTAATAAATTATTGAATATACTTTATTGTACACCAAGAAATAAATCAATCAACAAAAAAATAACAAAAAAAAATGTTTAAAATTTAAGAATACAAAAGGTCATTTTATAATTAAAAGTAATATTTATTGTATTAACATTTATCTTATTCGGTCTCATGTATGTTAATTGATTTATGTTTGTAATTCATAGTGCAACAACTTCCATTTCAGCCAGATTGCCAACAGGCTTTGCCAACTACAGTTGTGGGGGTGGGGACGCGTGGAGCGGTGGACACTTTGCGTTCGGAGCTGCGGGATGTGACGTCACAGCGCGACGCCGCCACTGCCGAGCTGCGTGAACGAGACGCACGTATACAGCGTCTCCTTCAGGAGCTGCAAGCGCTGGTGAATATATACCTCTGCAGTATTCTAGTGCTCTGGTACTAAGTGTTTGAGGATTGTAATATTAAAGCATTGCAAAAATGAAATGTCCTCTGTTATGAACTTAGACTGGCAGCTATTCTTTTTTTACCTATTTATCTATATTTTTATTTTAATGACGACAGTGAATGACAGTTTGGCGTAGTGGGCAGTGATCCTGCCTCTTGCGCCGGACGGTATGGGTTCGATCCCCACTACTGGAAAAATATTGTGTGATGCACATAGCCTTTTTTCAGTGTCTGTTTGTTTATACAGGGAATCTTTTCTAAGTGTATCCATATCTAGACATAAATAATTTTATATAAAAAATGATAAATTTTTAAAATCACTTATAATTAATTAATTACATTAATTTGAACTTATCTGAAAAAGTGCTTGATTTATGGGCAATTCATTTATTTTACGCGCGATCGTTAAACTAACTAACACGCACACAAGTTCGTTTCAAAAGTTTACGACGCATTTATGAATGACTACCGCATTGTTAACAAGTTCTGTTTTTTAGGGAATAGAATGGCAATTTTATTGAAAAAAAAAAAAAAAAACAGTTTGTTTTTATTTTAATAAACAATTATACTACCGAGTCTGAACCTCCTGTGTGAATTTGGGTACCTTTAGTAAATACTATGGCCCCTCTGTATATAGGAGGCCTTTGCACAGCGATTGAACATTTATAGGTTGTTACTTTATTTAACTACCCCACTTTGTATGTATCGCCCTTAGCTTTGGTGATTGAACATTGTGCAATTAAAAGCCGTTTCGTTCGTGAAATCATAAGATGTGCGAAATGTACGCTTTGTAGGTAAACTGGATCAGGTGGTACAGGCGCGGGAGTCCCTGCAGAAAACCGTGGAGACGCTCAGGACGGACAAGAACAATTTAGAACGAAAAACCTTTTTGCTTTTTGTGACCTTATTACTTGATACGTTGCCACGACATCGAGTGAGCCTTTAATGTGACTGGGGTTCCATGCAGGAGGAGAGGTGCGACTGCGCAGAGGCCGCTTGCGCAGAGGGCGCCACTCTCCGGAACGCGTTGGAGCAGGTGGCCCGCGCCCTCATACAGGATTCGGATGGCGACAGGTATTCATAAACAAAAAAAATATTTGGAAATTATGTGAAGTCCTCCAATACGCAGTGGGGCCGCGTGATGGACTATGCCCTGAAACCCTCTGTACAGGAGGCCTTTACCCAGCAGTGGGACATTTATACAGCCTATATATTACTTTTATAATTTTTAACTTTTATATAATCTTAAATAAGATCTTATTTTACATACGACCTTTCCTTCTTATACAGGGAGATTTTTTGACAATTGCCCAAATTTACACAGGAGGTTCAGACTCGATAGTATAATCGTTTATTGAAATTAAAAAAACAAAGTTTTTTTTCCAAAAAAATGCCATTCTATTCCCTAAAAAACCATGGCTATTACCATGCTGAGTGGTTAGCTCACTCAAACTACGCAACTGCTGCTAGCGGTATCATAAAAGAAACCATCACTTCTAATATAATTATATGTAATAAAGCGAAGCTAAATAAAATGTCATAATAAATATTTTTATTAATTCTATTTTGGTCATATGATTTTTGTATGCTATGTAGTAGAAAATATTGGAACTTCGATAAATAAGAAAAAGGTGCAATTGTATCACTCAATGACTCCTCGGTGCAGCTGCCAAGGAATTGGCTTCGGCGCCAGTGGTCGTGGGATCGATTCCTACACAAGACACTACCTGTGTGACTGACAGATACAATACATATTGTAGGCTGCAGCGGTTGTTGGGTCTTACAGCCCGACTTCTTCCGCATAAAATACAAATATTGTGTCACTCCGCAGGGGCGAGGCGCGCGAGGGGCGCGCGCCATCTCGCAGGGCTGCCACCTCCACGGTGGGCGACGTGGCCGCCTTCGCGGAGAGCACCCTCTCCGCGGTGCAGGCAGCCCTGCACAACTACCACCTGCACATCCACGACCTGCAGGCGAGTTGTTATGTTTGCCCTCCCCGCCCCCGTTCGCACTGTTATGGGACTGAATTGAAACCCGGTTTTAAGAAAGATTGTTTAATGTAAGCTGTAAGATAACTTTTTACAATTAAAAAAAAAAACAAAAGGGATCCTTGGGAACCCATTAACCCGCGTGCATACTTTAGACGGATCGCCGATGGACTGGAGATCGATTCGTGACAGTCACTAGCGGCACCGCGCAACGATGTGCTTAACTATAGAAGGAAATGTTGATGAGGGATGTTGGTGTGGTGGGGAAAAGGGAGTTGTAAACATATGCCGTTACATTGACCGGTTATAGGTTATAGTAATAGTATACCAGTTCAGCAGACATTTTCGCGGCACTCCTGCGAAAGCTGGTCCCATATTGGCGGCCTTCGTCAGGAACATCCACTTCGCAATAGCGGCTGCATAAACCATCTTGGACGCGACCATGCGCCCACTGACCTTTTCTTTCTTTTTTTTTATGCCAAAAGTTGTCAAACGAGCAGACGGATCACGTGATGTTAAGTGAATACCGCCGCCCATGGACATCTGCCACACCCGAGGGTTACAGATGCTTTGAGAACATTTTGAAAATTGGGCTCCGGCTACCTCACTCACCAGACGAAACGCGAAAGTATTTGTCATACTTCCACTTTACGCTGGTCTTCTGTGAGGTCGGGGTACTTACCCGGACGGGCCTGCCCATTCGTGCAATAGCCTTGGCTGCTGCGTGGCCCTACCACCGAAAGTTTTCCTCAATACGCGTTATCGTCACAACATACCGTCTGAACTAAACAGTGTAAAGTCATTTATAGACATTACTACGTAACATTTCCTGAGAGGGCGTAGTACTATGAGTATTATGTATTAGGATAATAATCCCGGTATGTCTCTGTAATGCAGGTAAAACTGGACAACTGCAAGGACCAGCTGTCCGCTAGCAGGAAGCAGTGCGAAGCTGCAGACGGCACCGTCGCTGCACTCGAGGATAAGCTGCGAGACCTGCAAGGTGCTGCAGACATCTCATTTCATCTCATTTCATCTCGCCTCATCTCACCTCATCTCATTCTGAAGCCCGATGCTCTAACTTGAACATCCCAAATGCGACACAGCTGTGAAAAAAATTTCTATAATTTATTTTTTGAGTCTTACATTACATTTTTTACACAAGCAATTGCAATGTGAAAATAAAAGAAAGCAAATTAAAACCCTTTCTTATATCTCACAGCTGGGCCTGAGCTGACCTCCTCTGTACAGAGGGTATTATATTCCATCACGCTATTTGGATAATATCAATCTATTATAATAGATATCTCTGAAATATGATTTATTATTATTAAAAAATAGGCCATCTAATATTGAAGAAATCATAAGATGTGCGAAATGTACGCTTTGTAGGTAAACTGGATCAGACCAACATCGATCTCAATCAGGTGGTACAGGAGCGGGAGTCCCTGCAGAAAACCGTGGAGACGCTCAGGGCGGACAAGAACAATCTAGAACGGAACAGGCTCGAAATCAATGCCATGGTAAATGTGCTCGATATTCCTTTTTGAACTTGAACATCAGTATATTGTCTTTTTGAAAGAAAATAAATTTATTCACCAAAAAAAAAGGACGCACGCAACAAAGAAAAAACTTAATTTAACAGAAAATAAAAAAATAAAAAAATTATAGTTGTAAATATTGTTTTAACTTAAACAAACGAAAAATAAACGATAAGTATTGTACGCCCTATTTCGGTAAGTTAGGTCAGCATTATGCAGCGCCGGAAGTCAAGATCCCAACACAGCGCGAATTTACAGTGCTTGACCTATTTATCGTAGTATTTTCAACGTTTTTTTTAATGATTTTATTATTGCCCGCGACTACGTCTGCGTAGAGTAAGCTGAAGGCGTAAGATTCAGACAGAAAGACAGATTTATATAAAATATGTATATAAATTATAGCCTATGTCTTATTGCTATGTAAAAGCTATATTATTGTAAAGTTTCATTAAAATCCATACAGTATTGTTCGCGTGAAAGAGTAACAAACATCCATCCATACATACAAAACTTTCGCATTTATAATTTTAGTAAGGATATGCAGTAGGTATGAGAATAGATTTATAACAAATTTTTATACCCCTAAGTGATAAGGGTGGTCCACCCCAAACATTTTTTTCTACTGTACACATACCCTAGAAATAGTTTACATGGCAAAATAATGTTTGCGGGGTCTGCTAGTAGATATATATAAAGATCTGAATTTTACTTCAATAGTTCTTCACTTCCTCAAGGTTGAATCTCTGACTTCGGACTACGAGAAGCTGCAGAAGATAAACTCGCGGCTGGAGAAGAACATCGAGGCGCTGGAGGAGGACAAGCGCGCGTTGAACGCAGAACTGGATCGGCTGCACCGCGAGGCGGCCAGCAGGGAGAGCGTTCTCAGGTAGACATACCATGCAAGTTGCATGAATGAATGAATGAATGAATGAATGAACGAATGAATACTTTTATTGTCCACCACAAACGAAAGGATACACAAAATTAACGATAGAAAAACACAATGGTATGCACAATTTGGCACAAGTTGCTTCTTTTTTCATGTGAAAAGTTGCCAAGCGAGCAGGCGGTTCACCTGATGTTAAGCGATTACCGCTCCCCATGGAGATCTGCAAAACCCGAGGGTTTGATTCATTGACAACCTTTTAAAAAGTACAACCCGGTTACTTTAATCATCACATCAAACGCTAAAAAGTATACTGCCGTCATACGGATAAAAGACGTATATGACATTTTTTCCAAAAAAATTAGTTATTGTATTCACATATTGAGTTTTCTGTACTGATTCTGAATATGTAAGAAACTCATTTTTGGAAAATACGTCTTTATTTCGTATGACGGCAGAAAAATCTTCCACTTCACGCTGGTCTACGGTGAGATAGTGGGACTTAACTGGAGCAGCCTGCCCATATGTGCAACTCAACGCAAAGCGGTTGGGCAAGATAGTGTTATCGTGTGTCAAACATTTACTGAAGCTATCACCGATTCCAATGCTATTATATTCATTCAACGCGCACCACCGTACACTAAAACTTCAATGAGTCTGTGTTGCCAAGGTATGGACTTCGGCGTCTGGGGTCGTGGGTTCGATTCCCACGCGGGACGTCTGTTTGTGTGACCCACAGATAGTTGTTTCGCATCTGGTTGTTTTCCACGTGAAAATTATGCTTGTAAAACGTCCTTAGAACACAGGATAATGTACATTAAGTCCTAAAGTAAGGGCAATGTTTTAAAAAAGATAAAAATGGACTATTCTTTTAGGGCGGAGGAGGAGCGTTCCACCCGCCTTAGAAGCGAGCTGGTAACCGTCCGAGAAGAGCTGAACAAGACGGCGCTGGCGCGGGACCTGCTCGACCAGCAGAAGATAGAGACGGACTCCATTTTCTCGCAGATGGAGAAGCACAGAAGTATGGCCAATGAATATTATATACAAATCTTTAATTGTTTCGTTATCAAGAGAGATGTTATTGTATTCCGTGTTCAGTTAAACTGCGATGGTGGAACGTAAAATGGCGTGACTGACCGAATGAGTGAATGTTTGAATGAAATGGGAACATATTATGATTGCTCCGTACCAGATTGTAAAGACTCTTTACAAAATGGTTCGATGATTCGGTGGCGCAGTTGCTAAGCTATTGGCTTCGGCGCAAGGAGTCGTGGGTTCGATTCCCTCACGGGACAAGTATTTGTGTGATCCACAATTGTTCCGGATCCCCGTGCTTGCTTACCGTGTAATGAGGCTTGACCTCAGGCAGCCGGCTGGTCGTAAAATAAAACAGCCAACACCGCTTACAGCTTGATTCACATGTTCCGGCGACCCCACCTAGGTGGTATCAGGGCAGGAGGATGATGATGATTGAAAGGGGTCTTTATAGTTGAGGGAATAGGCATGTACACGTTGCGTGCATTTTCAGGCGAACTTGAGATAGAGCTGGAGAGGACTATTCTGGAGCGCGGCGATCTGCAGGACTTGATGGAGAAGCTGGAGTCGGCGCTGCGCGACGCCGAGGCCGAGAAGACCAAGCTGCAGGAGGATATAAAGCAGGTACGGTAGAGGGCTTGGGGCTATAAGATGAAAAAAAAGTTCACATGATGAAATGAATAATTTGTGATTTCTTACCAAAGGTAATTGTGAACATATTGGATACAATATTTGTTATAAATTATTGATATTAATTAAAATAAATTATGATTATCACGTGCTCAGCGGTGAAGGAACACATCGTGAGGAAACCAATAATAACAAAAAAAAATATTTCGCATATATGTGAAGTCCGCCAATCCGCAGTGGGCCGCGTGGTGGACTATACCCTGATACCCTCTGTACAGAGGAGGCCTTTGCCCAGCTGTGGGACATGTATAGGCTGATACTTTTACTTTATGATTATTTTTAATTGGCTAAGGTGAGGTTCCGACTCACGTCTTGTTACCGTGCCTTGGAACTTTTTTTAATAAAGACTTTGTCTTTATTAAAAAAAAGCATTTTGCAGCTGAAGTGCGTGTGTGCTAGATCCGCCTTTTCACTTGTGTGCTGTAACGCATGAGTGAAAATGGTGAGTGTTGGCGCGCGGCTCACGCAAGCGCGGTGACGTCACTCGCTGAGAGCGAATTCAAAAATGGAATCGCAGGAGTGGCAGCTGCTGCCGCTCGCACTCCAGCGGCCTCAGCGCCGCCTGCCGGAAGAGCCCCAATGAGCTACATTGTTACGTCACTCGGCTCGCATTCGCTCTTAAATTCAAAAATGGAATCTAGTGTCATGTCGCAGCTGGAGGCGGAGCGCGGCGCGGCGTCGCGGCAGGCCGCCGAGCTGCAGGCCGACCTGGCGTCGCTGCGCAAGGAGCTGCTGGCCGGCGAGCAGGCGCGCATGGCGCTCGACGCCGAGCGCGCCGCGCTGCTCGACCGCCTGGCGGCGCGCGACGGCGCCGCCGACCAGCTGGAGCTACAGCTGCGCCAGCTGGCCAGGTGCGGCGCGCCTCACTATGTTTATACTAATACAAATTATTTTATTTCCATAATGTTTCTACATTGTATACCTTAAGAATTGACATCCACACTAGGCTGTTGCCTGTCCTATGGGGGATGAATAATAAACTGTATACAGTTTTATTTATGGTCTGTCTTGCTTGCGCTTAATTGATCTTGCTCACTCTCACACTCTATTACTTGATTATCATCCATCAGTGAGGATATGTTGTATAAGTGTTGTTCCGTCGCGCATAGGGAGCGGAGCGAGCTGAGCTCCCAGCTGAGCGAGATGGCGCGCAAGAAGGAGGCCCTGAAGGAGGAGATGGCGCGGCTGCAGCAGCGGCTGGAGCAGGCGGGCGACACCATCGCCAGGCTTAATCGCTCCGTGGACGACCACGTCAAGGACGGCGAGCAGAAGCAGGTGATGCCAGACGACGGAGTGGAGAGAGACAGGGGGAGGGGGGGGAGGGTATCTGGTGAGGGGACGGAGGTGTGGTCTGGAGTTCAGTTTTGGCTCGACGCGTGCTAGAGTGGGAGTTGTTGCCTCGATGGGGGCAGAGGTGGGTGCTCGGGCTCAGTCTGGGCTGTTGCGGCAGGCGGCGCTGGCGCAGCTGGAGCGCGAGCGGCAGCAGCTGCAGGAGGCGCTGGCGGGCGCGCGCGCGGAGCGGGACGCGCTCGAGGCGGCGCTCTTCGACACGGGCGCGCTGCTCGACGACGCGCAGGCCAAGGGCGCGCAGCTCGAGCGCCAGCTCACCGAGCTGCTGGTGCGCCACGAGGACGCCAAAGGTGCGCTTTTTTGCGCTCGCCACCCACCCAGGGTGGCGAGCGGGCTGGCGGCTCACCCGACGCTTAGCACTTACCGCCGCCTGTCGACCTTTGCAACACCCGCAGGGTGGCAGTTGCCGCCTCTTTATAAAGTGGGCACCAGCTATTTTGTAGAAGCAGAAACGCAGAAGTTGAACGTTTCCATTTCACGCCGGACTGCTTTGAGGTCGTGTTACTTCCCCGGATCGACCAGCCTATTCGTGCAACAGCCGAAGCTGGTGCGTGGCCTTATCACAGTTACCTGCTTATAGAAAAAGGTGTCCGAAATTGTTTTCAAAATAAAAAAAGTTCTCTTTCAGTTGCGTTGTCCGCGGGGGTTGATTTTTTTATATCTGATTTCGAAATTGCCAAGCGAGCAGGCGGTTCAGCTGAAGTTAAGTGAATACCGCCAAACGCAAAATCATCTCTAAAACGTTTTAACATAATGTTTTCGCTCGTAGATCTATCAGATCCTATTAAAGTTAAAATATTTTGTGCAACTATATGAATCGTGCCAAGCTTTATTCGCCATTGTCAGCATGCCCATCGTAAGGGTGATCAATTTGAACGCAGGCCAAATAGCCAGCCTGACGAAGGACCTGGAGAGCAGCGACAAGAAGCTGCGTGAGACGAGGAGCAGCCTGCAGCAGCAGTCCGGCAAGAAGGAGGCGGAGTACCAGCAGATCATCACCAACCTCAACCGCACCACCACGGAGAACATCACCAAGCTCAAAGAGGAAAAGGTGATGACTGAGATTTACTGGTGACCTAATTAACACAGGTTTTGTAGGTTGTAATTAACCTACCACAGGCACCAGTTCCACAACCAAAAATACATTTTCTCAAATAGCATAAGTTTTGGTTTTGTGATTCGTTTGTGGTGAGGAGTAAATGATCGAAAGATTATCGCGGAACAGAAAGATGGCGATGGTAGTGAACCTTCCTCTTGCGCCAGAGGGTGTGGGTTCCATCCACACTACTGGAAAAATATTGCGTGATGAACATAATGTTTTTCCAGTGTCTGACTGTTTATATATGTATAATATGTATTTATTTCCAAAATAAAAGTACGTTTAAATATTTTTATCAATAGCGTCAGGGCGCGAAAACAAAACGCAGCGCCAAAGTTTTTTGATTTGTGTACGCCCCGGTACGGATAATCGTCACGATGTGTTTCCCCTACCCTAAGGAGCAACTGCGGCAAGCGCTGGAGCAGAAGCTCAGCCAGATGATCGCGTCGCTGAACAGCGAGAAAGAGATAATCGAGGCGAGCGCGCGAGAGAGGGAGAGGAAGCTACTCGCGCTGAGGGACCAGCTCATGCTGCAGCACGACGAGGCGTTGCTACGCGCAGAGAACGACAAGCAGCAGGCCCTGCTCATGGGTGAGTGGTTTATGTGAGATGGTGGCAAGAGCTGGCGGTTCACGTGACGCTAAGTGATGACCGCCGCCCATGGACTTTGCAACACCCGTTGGGTTGCAGATACGTTGCCACCGCATTCACTAGACGAAATGTAGAAGTATAACGCTTCCACTTCACGCTGGTCTCCTGTGAGGTCGTAGTTCTTCCTCGGATGAGGCTGCCCATTCGTGCAACAACATACTTGTACATGACTGTTACATGACCGTACCACAAAAGCTAGATGGTCTTTGTACTTGTTTTATTAATCATCACTCTTCATAGCCAAAAGATATTTGAAGTATGATGTATGGATCTGAGCGGTAGGCAGCAAAAAAAAAACGGATGAAAGGAGAATGCAGATTAGAATTAAAAAGATGTGGTATATTTCTGGTACATAAGGTATATTTCATTGTTTGTAATACATTAATTTTAAAATTTTGCTCACATCATAACATTAGTTGTCTTAGTACCAGCCAAATCTCGGTCACACAAGAATAACTGTCCGCAGCCCACCAAGAGCACCAGGCTCTGTTGGAGCGGTTGGAGGACGCGAAGCGGGCGCTGGACTGCGAGCAGAGCAAGCTGGAGAGGTTGCGCCGCGAAGCCCAAGTCAAGGCGGACCAGGACAGGACCAGCATCAACCAGCTCAAGGACGAGCTGGCCGCCCTCAGGAACAAGCTGGAGGAAGCGAAGTAAATGCTGTTAACACCTTCATTTCGCTATTCTTTTGCTCAAGAAATGTGAAATTGACTTGAACTCAGGACGATAAAGTTATTTAAACTAAGCAAATATTTTTTTGTGGAGAATGATAAACTTAATTAAAAATTATATGTATTATAGATACATAAATACTCAGATATTATATGCATAACATAATAGTTTTCGTAGGGGATCGAATCCAAAACCTTTGGCACAAGAGACAGGTTCACAATGTACTACGCCAATCCGTTCAAATGTGTGGTCGAGTGCATAGTGCGTCATATATAAAACTGTTATATCGAATTTTTCACGAAGGCGAATAACAATATTGTTTTTAGTATGCAGCGGGAGAGAGATGACATACCTATAAGACCCCAATGCGAAGGAGTAGATCGTTTTTCGTACCTTAAACACCTACTTCCAGATTTGGGTGTTTTGTTTTTGTTTTTGTTATCCAATAATAGAGAACAGGCTTCAAGTGAAAAACCAACCAACTAAATATGTTCCCGCGTTTTCACGGAGAAGAGGGATAGTGCTGTTCATTTGGTCGACCTCATTATATATTAGAAAAAAAATTAATTTGGTTACAAGTTTAAAAAAGGCCCCCATTAGGCATCCTATAAGAGTTCTAACGTTTTTACCTTGATCCTAATATTTTAACTATTACTGAACTTGAATATTAATAACTATTATAACGACAAGCAGCACTAGAGGTTATATCCGCGTTCCGTCCGCTCCGACCGCGCACCGTCCGGGAACGCGGTCGAAATCCAAGTGACCGCGGCTACATGCGACCATGTGTCCCTTCGCTCGAGTAGATTACGTCATATCCGGTATACAGTGTTGCCAGCGCCAACAATCCGTTGTGTGCTCATGTAAGGAACAATGTTTCAGGGCGTCCGCCGAGGACGAGTGCGCCCGCCACGAGAGCCGCACGAAGGAGCTGCAGCTGGAGAAGGAGGCGCTCGGCCGCGAGGGGCAGGAGCTGCGCGCAGCACTAGCGCTGGCCGAGCACAGGCACGAGGCGGCGCACGCGCAGCTGCAGGACGCGCTGCGCAAGCTCAAGGAGGGTCGGCGGCACTTTTCATCTTATTGTTATCTACACGTGCACACACACACACACACTTGTGCGCGCACGTGCACGCCCGTACGCACACAGGTGCGTGCGCGTTCGTACTTTGATGTTAATTGTTGTACCGCACAGATGAAGCGCGCAAGTGTAATACTTCCACTTGATGCCGGTCTTATGTGAGGTCGCGGTTCGAACACAGATTTGTTTATTAAATGATTTTTTTAGCTATTTCCACAGTATAATGTCTTATGGCATTATACTTTGGGGAAATTCAGCCGACATAAATACTATTTTCATCCTGCAAAAGAGAGCTATTCGAGCGGTTTATAACCTGGGCCCCAAAGACTCACTAAGAAACCTGTTTAAAGAAATAAAAATATTGACTGTAGCTTCTCAGTACATACTTGCTAATGTTATGTATGTCCACAAAAATAAGAATGACTTTTCAAGATTTAGTAATGTGCATGATGTAAATACTAGGAACAAGCATAAATTAGTTCTACCCTCAACTAGATTGCGTAGAATAAGTAAATCTTTTATGGGACAATGTATACGCTTTTACAACAAAATCCCAGAAAACGTTCAAAATGAATCCGTTGCTAAATTCAAAAAACTTGTAAAGGAACGTTTGTGTGTTAATGGCTATTATAGTATTAGTGATTATATGAATGATAACACACTCTGGAAATGAATTGATCGCTCCAGGCTCTTTCAAGTGGAGTTTAATAATTGTACACATATTTGTAATTTTTTTGGCAAGTAAAAAAAAAAAATTATGTCCCGCTGAGTTTCTTACGCCGGTTCTTCTCAGGTCAGTGGCTTACCTTCCGAACCGGTGGTAGAGTTTTTTGACTATCAATAAGTAAGTGAATGCTTCTATATTGAATAAAGATATTTGACTTTGACTTAAAAAGGGAAGATGTTGTCTATATTGTTGTATTATTTTTTTAAGGTTTTTTTTGTATCGGGCCTTGAACTTCGGAGACACATCAGGGAACTCAAATAGAAATGATATAGCGAGTGAGATATTTTAAGTCGGTATTGTTTTATCAGTAAAATATTATTTTAATATTGATTTATTAATTCATAATGTCATAATACACTTTGCATTTGCAAGAAATATTGATAAGAGAGTTGTAACGTCTACGTCCGTTATAAAATCCCTGCCTGAGTGCAAGGGACCGCGTAACACGCGTTCCCACATTTTGTGAGTCCGTGGTGCAGTTGCTAATAATAATATAATAATAATAATAAAATATCTTTATTCACATAGACGCTTGCGCGTTCTTATGAAACGTCAAAATTTTACAAGAAATGAACACGTTCGTAAGTTACCACCGGTTCGGAAGGCAGTTTCTGTTGAGAAGAAACCGGCAAGAAACTCAACAGTTGCTCTTTTTTAAAAAAAAAAAAAATCAGTTTACAATATAATAGTACATGTACAATAGTCTTGTTTTAGCCTACGTGAGTATCAACAGTATTAACCCCACACATTGGCGTCGTCAAGATATTCAGCAATAGAATAATAGGCTTTAGCCATAAGTTTACTTTTAATTTTTCGTTTAAATTCATCAAGTGGCAGACTTAATATCGAATGTGGGACATATCGAATATGGACTGTGTTTTATTATACATGCGCACACCTTGCCCCATGAACGACCTGTTTACTTTTTGTAAACGAAACAATGGCGTAGTTAGTTTGTCCTTATTTCTAGTATTTAGTTTATGTCTGTCACTATTCTTTAGATAACTATTAATATTATTTTTAATATACAAAATATTACAATAAATATATTGAGACGCAACAGTGAGTATATTAATCTCTTTAAAAAGGTCTCTGAGTGTATTCCGGGCTCCGATGTTATAGATTGCTCGGACAGCTCTTTTTTGAAGCATTGATTTGCATTTGATTTGATGCATTTGATTTGATGCCTGGGTTAGATTTCCCATTACGAACCAACTATTTGTGTGATTCACAGATTGTTATTCTGGATTTGGGTGTTTGTCCATGTGAAATTTATATAATTGTAGAAAGTTCTTGAGGGCAATGTTTTTGATTTAAAAACGAAAAAAAAAAGGCATCTTAGATCTGTGCGACGAATTAGTTTTTTTTAATGTGAAAAGTTGCCAAGCGAGCAGGTGGTTCACCTGATGTTAAGTGAATACCACCGCCCATGGACATCTGCTACACCCGAGGGTTGCAGATGCGTTGACAGCCTTTTGAAAATTGGGCTCCGGCTACCTCACCAGACGAAACGCGTAAGTATTTGTCATACTTCCACTTTACGCCGGTGTTCTGTGAGGTCGTGGTACTTACCCGGACGAGCCTGCCCATTCGTGCAACAGCCGAGGCTGCTGCGTGGCCCCGCCACCGTCAACAGTCGCAAAGAGCGAGCGCTAACGTAAGCGGTGGCCCCGGCGCAGCGGAGAACGAGGCGGAGGGCCTGCGCAAGGAGCTGTGCGACGCGCGCCGCCAGCTGGCGTCGTGCCGCGCCGAGCGCGAGCAGCTGGCCTCCGCGGCGCGCGACCTGCGCGCGCACGTCAAGCGCGCCGAGCACGAGCGCCGCGACGCCGCGCGCGCGCGCGACGACGCCTACCACAAGATCGCCGGTCGGGCCCCCGCACCTCTTCCCCCGCTAACTTTACCCCCCCCCTACCCCCCCCCCCCCCCCCCCCCCTTATTAACAAATTCAAGACGTCTTTATTCATATAGACTCTTGCCATAAGATCGTCCCCCTATCTCTACCCCCGCTTACTTTAATTGGGACGGTCCAGCTCCACTCAAATACATATTCAAAACATCTTCATTCATATAGACTCTTGCAACAATATCACCGGTCAGTCCAACCCCCCCCCCCCTCCAGATCCACTTCTACCCCCACTAAGTTTAATTGAAATTTTGGAGCCCCCCTCAAATTCAAAATGTCTTTATTCGTATAGACCCTTGCCACAAGATCGCCAGTTGGTCCCCCCACCTCACCTCTTCCATCTCCACCCCCCACTAAGTTTAATTGGGACGGCCCAATCCCTACTCAAATTCAAAATATCTTTCATATAGACGCGTTCTGATGAAACGTCGAATTACACCCACCTTCATCCATCTCATGCACATCTAGGTTTAATTGAAACGTTTTAGCCCCACCTCTCCACCACCCGCATGTGCCCCCCACTCCCCGCATCCGAAATTACATTGGATTAACAGTTGTTTCTTAAGTAAAAAGTAAAGTAACCTATACAAATTCTTACTTGTATAAATATTAATGTATGTAATATAATTTGCTTACATAAATTTCCAAATGGTTCATGAAAAAAAAAAAAAAATACGGAAATTTGTTTGATCCACGTGTAATTTTTTCGAGACTGGTTGTACTTTGCGTGCGTGTTTATATATCTGTATTTATTATGTAAGATAATAAAACGTCCCCCTCCGGCCGCAGGGTTGGAAGAGTCCCGGGCGTCGGTGGAGACGGAGCTGGCGCGGGTGCAGGCGCTGCTGAAGGAGGCGGAGTGCGGCGGCGAGGCCAGCGCGCGCTCGCTGCGCGCCGCTGAGGCGCAGCTCAAGCGCGAGCGCGCCGCTCTCGAGCAGGCGCAGCACGACGCCAAGGAGCTTCAGTCTCGGTGCGTGGCTCTTTAAGTTTTAAGGCACATTCACGTCGAGTAACTGTCGCTTGCCGATGCGTTATTCATTGACTGAGAAGTTAGTAAGTTTTAATAAGTTGGTATGTTTTGTTGTGAGTTGAAAAGTTAGTATTTAAAGAAAAAACAACATGGGCTTGAAATTTTGCTATTCAAGTCGAAATTGTTTTGTTATTCAGTAAAGGCCAAAATATGGGCCATTATCAAATAGAAAAGTGTACAGCGAGTGACACATTTCTAGTCTGCATTATTTTTCGCTAGTACAAACGTTTGACTTGCTTTCCTTATGTTTGGTGGACGTTATCTCTCATATCGCCCCGCCCCCAGGCTGCAGAACGAGAGCGAGGAGCGCGAGCGCAGCGCGGCCGAGGCGTGCGCTCTGAAGCGGCGCGGCGCCGAGCTGGAGGCTCTGCTCGCGGCCGCGCGCACCGACCTCAACGCCGCGCGCCAGCGCTGCGCCGACCTGGAAGACGCCTGCCGCGCCAGGGACCAGGTCCGTCTTGTCCCCCATGCCCCATTGCCTCCCCATCGCCCCCATTGCCTCGTACCCCATCGCCCCCAATCTCCTCTTTACTGTCCATTACCACCCCCTCCCTCCCTCAAAGTCGCCATTGCCCTCCATTGCAACACCACCTCCCCCATTGCCCCTAGTATCCCTAATACCGTCCCATTTTCATTGCCTCCATGACCTCCATCGCACCCATCACTTTCCATCAGACCCCCTTCGCCCAAAACTTATCGGCCTCCATTATCTTCCGCTCTCCCCCTCCCCTACTCGCTCCGTCATATCGTCAGTCATATCATATCTGCAGTTGCAATAGGGCACGCTATTTTTGTAAACCGTACCATTCTTTATATGATACAGTTTCAGGTAAATATCTATTAAAAGCTAATGGGTCTTTTAAATAGACAAAATCTGTATGTATGTAGACAATTATGTACTGAGAGAGTTTTGTCTTTAAATATTTTTAAGTAATGATAATTTTAAAATAAAAAGTTAGTTATAGTCAATAGTTATATAATGCTAGTATAATATTACTTTGTTGTCCAAAGGAACTTATGATGCGCTTGGAAGATTGCCGATCGAAAGAGCGGCGGTTGGAGGAGTTGAAGCATAATCTGGAGGTGTGCCTTGCCGACGCCACGCAGCAGATACAAGAGCTCAAGGTCATTTGAGAATAGTAAAAATATAACAAAATATATTACACTGGCATTGCTGAAGTTTAAATTATGATCGTATTCTAATAATCGTCCTCAAAAAAGTCCTGTGTTTAAACTTAATATATAATGATAAGTTGGAATGAATAAAAGTTACATCTTTTGGATCGCACAAAATCAAAATTCTAAATTGACCACCTACAAGATTTGCTGATTTGCTGTTTGGCTAAAACATAATTATGTTGAATGGCGATGCAGCAATGCCCGCCTGTGTTATAACACTCAGGAGGGGCCTCAAATCCAAACTTAAAGGCCGTTACAGATCCACCGGGCTTGTGGTGGCTGGGCGCCGAGCGTAGCCCGTACCTCGATTAATTTTCCCCGGTTAGGCCATATACTCCCAGTGGAAATCGGTGAAGTAACAAAGATTGGGGAGTACAGACGCGGCTGTCGGCGTGCGAGAGCCGCTCGCGCTCGGTGGAGGCGTCGCTGGCGCAGAGCGAGGCGGGCCGGCGCGAGGCGGAGGCGCGTCTCTCCTCGGTGGCGCACACGCTGCGGCGCGTCTGCGGCGTGCAGCCCGACGGCAGCGTGGCGGCGGCGCGCCGTCGCCTCGCCAGCCCCGCGCGCCGCTACAGCCCGCACAGAGGTCGGTGACCCCCGCTCCGGGGCCGAGGCCGATCGCCCGGATGCCGACACTGCTGCCTTCCGTAGTGCTACTACGGACACCCGGCCCGCGACCCGCGTCAAGGTCAATGAACTAAGCCTCCGCACGGAGGTCAGTGACCCCGCCCCGTGCCTAGGACGTTCGCTCAAATGCCTACACTACTGCCTGTAGTGCTACCACGGACAGCAGGCGCGGCGCAACCCGCGCGAAGGCCTACGAACTAAGCCTCCTATAGTATTACGGCGCAATCCAATATCAAATCTTTTTTATTGCGATATTACTTAAAAAGATATGCACTGTAAAGTGTTAACTAATTCTCTAGCGCAGTTGTCAAGGTATTTCCAAGGTGTTGGTAGAGAAAAAAAAATAGAAAAAAATTCCTACTACTTTTTTAAAGGTCGCGATCATTCTGAAGATCGAAACGAAATCATAGATGTCGATCCCGAACTCATCAAGAAGGGTGTCCGCAACTTCATGCACGAGGTGTGCCAAATGGAGCGAGAGAAGGTGCGTGCACTTGAATTATTTCTTGTACGATATCGTCATTTTTAATATGTTCGAAATGTCTAAGATCTTACAATACATTTATTCGGAACAGTTTAATCTTACAGTGTGTATGCATATTGAACAGTCCATAGATTAAAAACTCACTAATGCTTGGACAGAGTTCATGAGGGGTTTGGACCATCCAAAGTTTAACGATTCGCACGTGCCGACAGGAGGAGTACAAGGCGCAGGCGCAGGCGCTGCAGAAGCAGGTGCGCGAGGCGACGCAGCAGCGCGGCAAGGGCGAGGGGCGGCTGCAGGCGCTCGGCGCGGACGTGCGCGCGCTGCACGAGGAGCGCGCGCGCCTGCAGGCCGCAGCCGCGCACAAGGACGCGCAGCTCGGCGCGCTGGTGAGCGTGGCCGGACGTCTATGATTTACGTAAAACTGGCGGGTTTCGTAAAACTAAAGAGGAGGCACTGGCACGAGACGTACACGCCAGTTTACGTAAAATAGTCGGCTTTCGTAAGGACGCGCAGCTCGGCGTGCTGGTGGGGAGCAAGCGGGAGCGGTAAAACGAGTTTACGTAAAGTACTCGGGTTTCGTAAAATTGTTGGCCCGGGGCCGGGGTCGAACCGCGCTGGAAAAGAAACTAACTAGCGCTAGGCTTAAACGCGTGTTTAAGTAAAATGGTCGGCTTTCGTAAGGACGCGCAGCTCGGCGTGCTGGTGGGGAGCAAGCGGGAGCGGTAAAACGAGTTTACGTAAAGTACTCGGGTTTCGTAAAATTGTTGGCCCGGGGCCGGGGTCGAGCCGCGCTGGAAAAGAAACTAACTAGCGCTAGGCTTAAACGCGTGTTTAAGTAAAATAGTCGGCTTTCGTAAGGACGCGCAGCTCGGCGTGCTGGTGGGGAGCAAGCGGGAGCGGTAAAACGAGTTTACGTAAAGTACTCGGGTTTCGTAAAATTGTTGGCCCGGGGCCGGGGTCGAGCCGCGCTGGAAAAGAAACTAACTAGCGCTAGGCTTAAACGCGTGTTTAAGTAAAATGGTCGGCTTTCGTAAGGACGCGCAGCTCGGCGTGCTGGTGGGGAGCAAGCGGGAGCGGTAAAACGAGTTTACGTAAAGTACTCGGGTTTCGTAAAATTGTTGGCCCGGGGCCGGGGTCGAGCCGCGCTGGAAAAGAAACTAACTAGCGCTAGGCTTAAGCGCGTGTTTAAGTAAAATGGTCGGCTTTCGTAAGGACGCGCAGCTCGGCGTGCTGGTGGGGAGCAAGCGGGAGCGGTAAAACGAGTTTACGTAAAGTACTCGGGTTTCGTAAAATTGTTGGCCCGGGGCCGGGGTCGAACCGCGCTGGAAAAGAAACTAACTAGCGCTAGGCTTAAACGCGTGTTTAAGTAAAATGGTCGGCTTTCGTAAGGACGCGCAGCTCGGCGTGCTGGTGGGGAGCAAGCGGGAGCGGTAAAACGAGTTTACGTAAAGTACTCGGGTTTCGTAAAATTGTTGGCCCGGGGCCGGGGTCGAGCCGCGCTGGAAAAGAAACTAACTAGCGCTAGGCTTAAACGCGTGTTTAAGTAAAATGGTCGGCTTTCGTAAGGACGCGCAGCTCGGCGTGCTGGTGGGGAGCAAGCGGGAGCGGTAAAACGAGTTTACGTAAAGTACTCGGGTTTCGTAAAATTGTTGGCCCGGGGCCGGGGTCGAGCCGCGCTGGAAAAGAAACTAACTAGCGCTAGGCTTAAACGCGTGTTTAAGTAAAATAGTCGGCTTTCGTAAGGACGCGCAGTTTAGCGCGCTGGCGAGCCCGGGGTCCCGGTTTCGAGGAAAAACTAGAGGGAGCGTTGCAGACGAGTTTGCGTAAAATAGTCTTAATTTATCTTACGTTCTACTAGAATAAAAAAACATATTCGTACTTTGCAGAACGAGTCAATCCAGGCCAAGACAACGGAGATCAGCAACTTGCGCGACAAGATAACCAGTCTGGAGGCGGCCCTGAGCTCTGTTACTGAGGACAAAGTTCAAAACGAGGTATCTACCTTCAGAATTGTTCAGACTTGCAATAATTTCAATCGTTGTTCCCTCTTTGCATTTTGACAATCTATGCTTTTTAACCTTACAAAAATAAGTGTTCATTGAATAGTATTAAGCTAATGGATTTTATAGCTATTTGCGAAAACTTATACGTTTTGTTTTGTGGTAAAAGGTTAATGTTTTAATTTAGTTTTGTTTAATTTTCAGAATAAATCGGAGAGCTTACGGTTGCAGCTGGCTGAGCGTATTCAGGAAATCGCGCAACTGCGGGAGGCCCTAACGGCCGCTGAAGGTAGACTATTTTTTATTATAAGATCTAGTTATTGTCAACATCATCATAATCTTTTCGGCCTGTTTTAGTTCGCTGCTGGTCTAAACCGCCTCCAAAGAATAATTTATTTGGTTCTTATTTCTTTTTTGGTATTTTGAATCCGTATGGTAAAACGTGAAGTTGGGAAGTCGATGGGTGCAGGTGGCTCTGGATTGTGCTTCGTGGCAGTCTATGGGAAAGGCCTATGTTCAGCAGTGATAAAATTAGAAACGATATTAGGGCATCTATGAAACAGATTATGACATAAAACTTGAATAACTTGGTTTAGCAACGGCTTTTTGTTCTCTGGTCATCACCATAAAAACTGGGTGAGGACTCGTCTCCGGCAACCGATTTTGTTGCACCAATATTCAGACTCGTCGTGTTTCGCTTTGTAAGTGAGGTAACCGGGGTTAGCTGTTTTAATAAGTCGGCATTTGCCACCCGGTCTGGTATTGGAGATGTCTATGGGCGGCGGATATCACTTAACATCAGTTGGACCGCCAGCTCGTTTGCCACTTTGCCACATAAAGAAAATGTAAGAGCCGCTCGCTGGGCAGGCCGCGGCGCGCGCCTGGACGTGAGGCGGGCGCAGCTGGAGGGCGACGTGCAGCGCGCCGCCGTCGCCGCCAGGGACCGCGACCAGGCGCTCAAGGTCGCACGCACACACACACCAACCATCACACTTACATACCACACGTAAGCCTGTGAATTACACGCACACACACCACACATACATACCACACGTAAGGCTGTGAATTACAAGCACACACACCACACATACATACCACACGTAGGGATGTGAATTACAAGCACACACACCACACATACATACCACACGTAGGGCTGTGAATTACACGCACACACACCACACATACATACCACACGTAGGGATGTGAATTACAAGCACACACACCACACATACATACCACACGTAGGGCTGTGAATTACACGCACACACACACCACACACATACATACCACACGTAGGGCTGTGAATTACACGCACACACACCACACATACATACCACACGTAGGGCTGTGAATTACACGCACACTAACGACCGCACCCACGAACACGCACCACACATAGGACTGTAAGTTCGTGTAACTTGCACACACACACACACACACACACACATACACCTATACACATCACTTGTAGGGACTTTGATTTACACGCACTCTTACGGCCGCACACACGCATCACACGTATATACGCACGCCTTTAAACTTTACACGCAAACGTTCCTTTAAACCTTTTTTTTTTAAATTTAGCAATCAGTTCCGATTCGTTTTGAACGTTTTCTGTTATATTGTTGTAAAAACTGATACGATGTCCCGCAAAAAGACACGCAGTCAAGTTGAGGGTGGGCGGTGGTGGTCCAGAAGGGGGTGAATCGAAGAGTTTCCGTCCACTGCAGAAGCTGCAGGAGCGGTGCGAGGGCCAGCAGCGCAGCACCGCCTCGCTGGAGGAGCGCTGCACGTCGCTGAAGGGCACCGTGGAGCAGCTGTCGGGCGCGCTGCAGAAGGCGGCCGCGGCCGAGAGCGAGCTCAGGGCCGAGCTGAGCAAGGCTCAGCGCGCGCTCGCCGAGGCCAGGGGCCGCGAGCAGAGCGCGCTCGACAAGCTCAGGCAGGCGCAGAAGAACTGCAGTGAGTCTGCGCCCTTCTCGAGCCTTGTACTGTGCTAGACGTAGCACGTAACAATGACGCATCGTCAATCTAATCCAAGTAATCTAACAGACCGGTTAGAGATGAACAAACTTCCGTAATTATGTTCGGAAATTTTTATCTCGTGTTAGTTATATTTTTCTGTAATTTTCCCATTTGTGTGTACCTAAGTGGGTAATAGTGGCTTATAGAATATTTTCGTATCTTATCTACATAGTGACAAGAAACGTATGGAGTGAGGAAAAAAAAACATAGTAGTGTGAATATTTTGTAGTGTATACCATAAAACAGGGGTAAGACCCATTCGAATTAAATGCGACGGCCTACGTCACTGCCTTAGTCTTTGTACGTTAACGGCGATAAAGCCGTTTAGACTATAGAGCTCAGCAAAGAACTGAAAGCAATAATGCTTTACAGCCAACTGCGAGAACGATCGTCGCGTGCTGTCGGAGAAGCTTGAAAGCGCTAAGTCCGCTTTAAGCGAGCTGAAGCGGCTGAACGCCACCCTGGAAGATCAGGCGCACAGGCTCACCAAGCAGCTGGCTGATGTCGAAGTACAAAGGTATCAGTTTTTGGATGCATGGAAAGTTTGACGAGGAAATGGGACTTTCCATCGTTAATTATTTATATCTAAAATATCTGAAATATCAGAAAACGATATCATACACATTTTAAGGGACAACTTGGTGTCACCAAACAGACGGGTATTAATCGAGTTATGTTGGACTAAAGTTGAATTTCCACTTCAAAAAGATTATGATTTACGACTTGTCTGAGGAATTACCACGGTTTCAGAATTTCGACCTAGAGTAGAAGTATCTATTTATATGTGTACCTTGTACGTTGTTGGTTGATGAAGTAACCGGGTCTCCAAAAGTTATGTACACAATTGTTACGGCGCACGTGTTGGAGCTCACAACACTCGAGACATTGATTAGTTTTTCTTTAACTATTTACCCGTAAACTTTGTCATAGACTATGGGAGGTAACATAGCAGCCGCGTTCCGTTGTAAAAACAGTGCCGATCGTAAAGGCCCATTTACACGGTGCCAGTTTCTTGCCTGTTGTATACAATTAAATTGAAGCAATAAATAAGTTGCATGGTCTAAACAACAAATGGTCTAACCAATTATTGCGCGCAATTTATTGCATTCAATTATTGCTCTTGCATGTACAAGAAAATGGCATCGTGTAAATGGGCCTTAATGGATGCGGTTTTGCATTTCTGGCGATGTAGAACCCTCACAGCCCACCCCGCTCTTGTATAGCGCCGTGAATGTATTGGCGGTCGCAGGTCCGCCCTGGAGTCGCAGCTGCGCGTGTCCGCGTGGGAGGGCGGCGTGGGCGGCGTGGGCGGCGTGGGCGACTCGAGCGACGGCGAGCTGCAGCGCGAGCTGCACGAGCTGCAGCGGGATCGCGCCGAGCTTAAAGCGCAGAACGAAGCGCTTCAGGTGACGCCTACTGCAGCACCCGCATTGAGTATGAAGCGACGGTAGCGCTGCATGTGTTGTAGTGGGACCGCGCCGAGCTTAAAGCGCAGAACGAGGCGCTTCAGGTGATGGCTAATACGACCCTCGTATGGAGTATGAAGCGACGATAGCGCTTCAGTTGTAGTGAGACCGCGCCGAGCTTAAAGCGCGAGGTGCTTCAGGTGAAGCCTATTGAGATCCGCGTATCGAGTATGAAGCGGTGGTAGTGCTTCATGTGTTGCAGCGGAAACGTTGCTTTAGATGAAGCCTATTGAGGCCCGCGTATTGAATATGAAGCGACGGCAGCGCTTTACGTGTTACGCTTTCTTACAGCACTCGAGCCCTTGGTTGTTTATGATCATTGAATAAGTTTTAAAAGAGACATACTAAACAGTAATAGATTACTGTGGTACACAGCCGTTTCTGCTGTTGCATGAATGGGCAGGCATTCACAGAAGAGCGTAGTCAAGTTGAGGTCTCAAACTTTCGCGTTTCGTCTGGTTAGTGAGGTAACCGATGCTCACTTATTTGAAAGTTGACAACGCATGTGCGAGCCATCGAGTGTTTTAGATGTTCACGGGCGGTATTCATCTAAATTCAGGTGAACTGCCAACACGCTTGACAACGTCCGAGACATGAGATATATGAATGAAGAATTTTATTTAATTATAATTCGACGATTCATAAGAACGCGCAAGCGTCTATTTGAACAAAGATATTTGATTGATTGATCGATTGATACTACATCGCACGTTAAAGTGTACTGTGAGCTTTATTCCCGGGCGCTAAGGTCGCTTTCGCGCTGCAGGAGACGGTGCGCCGCGCGTGGGCCGAGCGGCGGGGCGCGGCCGCGCTGCGCAGCAGGAGCCACGAGCGCGACAAGCTCTACTACGGCGACCTCGACTCGGGTGCGTGACGTGACAGGCTGGACGTCGCCGTGACAAGCTTAACGCCGTGGTTTTTTGAACCGATTTCGAAAAGCAGCCAAGTGCGAGTCGGACTCGCGCACGAACGGTTCCGGACTCTAATTTTGGAAATGCGACAAAATGACTTTTGTTAGTTAGAAATTTAAAGAACAAAAACTTACCAAGTGCGACTCGTGCGAGAAGGGTTCCGTACTATTATCTATGAAAACGGCAAAACAATCATGCCCGTTGTATGGGAGCACCACTTAAATATTTTTTTATTGTTTTTTAGTATTGTTGGTATAGCGGCAACAGAAATACATCATCTTAGAAAATTTCTACTGTACAACTATCACGGTTCATGAGATACAGCCTGGTGACAGATTGATGGACGGACAAGCAGCGGAGTCTTAGTAATAGGGTCCAGTTTCTTCGGGTACTGAACCCTAATAGGAGGACGTTCTAGATTGGTTGTTGTTACTCAGAACAACACTTCATAAATGACTTATGAACCATGTTGAAAAATGTCTCTTATGAAAAATGTTCACATAAAAAGAGAAAATATTACAAAAAAGAAAAAAAAAATAGGTTAACCGTAAAGTATTATAATAATATTAACAAATAAAAATAATTAAATGTGTGTTGTGATATGGTGGCGGAAGGGACCGTCTCAGCATAAGCCGCAGGAGTTCAGCGCTGAAATATACTAAAAACCTTGGACTCCGGAGTACCGGTGTACATTAGGGAAATCAGAATATGTAATCAAAGATATATGCGAAGTCGGTTTTTTTTATTGTTAACAAAAAGTACTTGTTTACTGACGGACGTCGAACTATGCCGGAACCAAAGTCACAACCTACTGTATTCGAGTTCTAGTTCGTAAACAGTTTTCTATGTGCAATGTGTACGGTTGTTAAACAATAAATATCGACAACAAAAAGGAAATATTTCGAAGACAGAGGGTATCATACTGTGTCCTGGGCATGTATAGGCTTTACTTTTGTATACCGGACCGTTTGCCCAGCAGCGGGACGGGTATAGACTAATACTTTAATTTACTTTACCTACATAGGACCGGACTCAAACAAGGACTCGATCCGCGATCCGAAAGAGCCTTCGTGCACGTGCAAGGGGCGCGGCTTCAACGCGGAGCTCAAGATGCTCGAGCTGGAGAACAGGGAGCTCCGAATGAAGATCAGGCGCTTGGAGAAGGAGCTCTCCGACAAGGTACAACTACCTTTTTGTCTTTTTTTTATGTGATAAGTTGACAAGCGAGCAGGCGGTTCACCTGATGTTAAGTGAATACCGCCGCCCGCGGACATCTGCTACACCCGAGGGTTGCAGATGCGTTGACAACCTCCTGAAAAAGGCTCCGGCTACCTCACACACCAGACGAAACGCGAAAGTATTTGTCATAATTCCACTTTACGCCGCATTCGTGCAGCAACCGAGGCTGCTGCGTGGCCCTACCACAGTTAAGTTAATATGTCTCTTTTTCAAGTAAAATTTGTTGTACGACAAGATTGTAAGGATGGATCTGTAAGTTCTACAAACATTAGGATTAATTTTTTTTGTGGTTCTGCCTGTCTCTTGCGCCAAAGGATGTGGTTTTGATGCGCGCTACAGGAAAGTTTTTTTAGTTAAAGGTTTTTTTAAGTAATGTATTACTATTGACTTGACGACCCAATTGGCGTGGGGAGTAGTGATACTGCCTCCTGCGCCAGAGGGTGTGGGTTCGATCCCCACTACTGGAAAAAAATATTGTGTGATGAACATCGTGTTTTTCCAGTGTCTGGGTGTTTATATATGTATAACATGTATTTATTTACAAAAGAAAAGTATGTTTAAGTAGGTTTATCAGTTTTCTAGTACCCATAGTACAAGCATTGCTTAGTTTGGGACTAGAGAATGTTGTGTAAGAAATGTGTCCGAAATATTTATTTATTTATTATTATTTATTTAATAGTATTATTACTATTAATAGTAGTATGTATATTATTAATAGTACTTACAAAAAAAGTGTGACAGGTTTATTCAATGTTGGCTTACGGCCGGTTTCAATATTCAACCTAAAGATAGATTTGGTTACTGGAGATATAATTTAAACGTAAGTATTAAGAAGCTAATATGAAATACCTAGCGCAACTCGACCGGCCGTTAGATTGTAATTAAATAACGCTGTGTAAAAATATTTTCCAAAATATATTTACATTTTACGAGAGGCCACAACTGTGTTGCATAGGAGGGTATTGCTCTCTCGTTCTCGCCAAAGTTAAAATGTATAAAGCAATAGTCAAATTTCACACTTGACGATACCTGAACAAACTCGTGGAGCCAAGTTCCCTCGGACTGATCAAGCTTTTCGTTTATACGCTGCAGGAGGCGGAGCTCTCTCTGGCGAGGGGCCGGTACTCGGGGGAGGCGGGCGGCGCGAGGCGCGAAGAGGCCGAGAGGCACACGCAGCGGCTGCTGGAGGCGCGAGAGGCCGCGCACCGCGACCACGTGGCGCGGCTGGAGGCTCAGGTGCTGCCTCTGCCACCTCTGCCACCTCTCGCCTTCTCGCTTTTTTAAATCTGACAGGGTGGCAAACGGGCTGGCGGTTCACCCGATGTCAAGCTTTCGGAAGCCACCTCTCACCACGTGTATGGTCGCGGTATTTGCCCGGACGGACCTACCCGTTCGTGTAAACAGCGTGGAACGTGACGTGGCCCTACTTTAGAATTTCTTTCCTTATTACACGTCCATCGTTTTCTTCTCACTCAACCATTCCGTTTAATTTTATTGAAGTTGTATTTATTTATTGATTTTCATCCAACCACCTTCGCGGGAAATATTAAATTATTTTAAATTTCTTCTTTTACATGTAAATATTAACATTTTATGTATTAATATTACAATGTTACATCACCTAAGTATAGTTAATTACCACCGTTCCTACAACCAACGAGTCTATAGGTAAGTTACAAAGATATGTAACTGACGAATGGGAGGGCTCCAGAGGGAAACGTGTAGCTCCGTGGGCCGAATTGTATGAAAACGTTAGCTACTGGCGTTCCTATACATTTTTCGAAACGTCAAAGAAGCGTGGAAAAAAGTTAGTCAGCGGCCTAACAGCGGCGGGCCCGTAGGCGTCGCAGCTGCGCGCGCAGCTGGCGGCCGAGCTGCGGCGGCGGCAGGCGTACGTGGCGCGCAGCGGGCGGGCGGCGCGCGACGTGCAGCGGCTGCGCTCCGCGCTCGGCGACTCGCTGCGCGCCGTCTCGCAGGTGCGCTCGCACCCGCTCCCGCACGATCGCTTACTCGCACGCTCTCCTGTTCATAAACTACTCGCACTCACACGATAGCTTGCTAGCACGCTCGCCTATTCATAAACTACTCGCACTGGTACGATAGCTTACTAGCACGATTCCTCTGAGTCCATACTCGCATGATCTACCCAGGACTCTACTCGCACTCTCAAACCCTCGCTTACATGCTGGAATTCCCAGTCGCTTCTACTCGCACGATCACTTACTACCACAGGCTCGTATTGCACAACCACTTGCAGGTTCTCCTATTCCATGAATCTACTCGCACTCGCACTATATCCTATTCTACGAAAACCCGCAATCGCATGATTTCCCAGTCGCCCCTATTAGATCTCGTATTTGCGCAACCAATCTCCTCGCACTACCACATACTCGCACGGTAGGCAGTGCTGACTTACTCGTACGATCCCCTAACCACTTTACTTGCATGACCAACCTTATCAAACCACCACCTACCCACATATTCATTCACATATGCTTACTCGTATTTAGTGGATGTTTGCCTTAATCAGGCTTCCTTACATTCTCTCGCTCACTTGCACCTGTGCTTAGTTGTATTGTATTAGTATTTTTTAAACTACTCGCATGTTAACATGTGTCGAACATTGAAGGTAACGTTACAACAGGTCAAGCATTAATCAAATAGAATATTAATGACACTTATTTGCCTTAGACCACTGACAGTTCTTACATGTATTTAGTAATACGAGTAAAATGGCAAGGTATATAATACGAGTCAGCTAATTTGTAACACATGTTAGCATGTACGCAAATTGCCTATACAGCTTGAAAATTGTTACCTTGGTTAATTAAAAGCATGTGTCGATTTACTAATACACATTGTTCCGATGAACGATACTTTTAATTTGTGTTCGAAATGTGGTATACATTGCATGCAACTCTACCATTTGAAATTATGATGCAAGGCATATCGAAGCATCACATCCAAAAAAATACAAATAAATTTATATAAATAGTAATAAGTACTACTAACAGCGAAGTCGTTGCCAATCTAATGAACAAAGTTAAAAGTGACCAGAGTTTCTTTTGTTTTTAAAACAAACTCTGCCCACGAACATGAGTCACGTCGCGTGAATAACGACACACAGCGGGAGCGCGTTTGTGTCACGCGCTTGACGTGACGCGGGGCGGGTGCGCGCTCGTGTCACGCGCGTGACGTGACGTGACGCGGCGAGCGTGACATGTCGCGTGTTGCAGGACCCGGCGCTAGACTCGCGCACGCTGCAGCAGGAGGCGCGCAAGCTTGACACTACGCTGGCGCACAGCCTGCCGCCCCTCGGCGATGCCTATGATGTCGGCAAATAGCCGCAGGCGCTTCTACCTTCTGAATTACGGTAACAGTGCCATTGCTACTATATTATACAAATTCCTCTAAGAACTCTTTATGCATAACAATTTAGCTTCCGTTTGTGTCCACAAAACTAAAAAACCAGCCGATGGATTGACTTGATATTTCTTCACAACATACCATTTAGGTAGCCAATGAACAGGAGTGTGTCTTTATATAGTTTTTATTCTGAAGTTCCAAAGGAAACGAAAAATAGAAGCCGTAGCGAAGCGTGGCAATATTCAGCTAGTGATATACTATTTAGAGATATGATATCTGAAGTCTATTAAAGACCTAGAAACACTTGTGACTGTGTTCTGAACAGTTTAGTTACTAATGATTTTTTGACAACAAAGCAACTTTCTTCTGTCCGTATTCCACTTAGGTGGGGTCAGTGGAACTGTTAAGGTACTTAACATGATTGACTTTTTTTAATGGTATTGGATGGGTTTTTTACGATCGGCCATCTGTGTGATGTCAATCCTCACTTTACGAACACCCAGATACGGAACAATTATCACAAACATTTGTTCCGTGTGGGAATCGAACCCAAGACCCCGGCGCCGAAGCCAATGCCTAGCAACTGCGCCACGGAGTCATGACAGAAAAAGACGCTTTGAAATAACAACAATTATATGTTGTTGTTAACACTCAGTAATTATGAAAAATAACAGTAATACTATCAATATATAGGATAATATGTACTGTTTTAAGGGAAAGTGATAAACACGGTAAACGCAGTAGTAAAAGACTGTTCAGTATTTCCTTGAAGTGGCCAAGGTTAAACCAGCGGTAAGACAAACACGTTAATGCAAGATATGTATTTTGTTGGTGGACAATGTAAAGTGAATATAGAAACAATGGCAACTGAGTATAAAATTGTGAGAAAAGCGTATTGATATGCTTCTTTTTCAAAATCCGTAATTTAGGACAAGTGGTGAAACTTAAATATCGCAAAAGTGAATATTGATAACTATAAGATACGCATATTATATTATGTTGCTATTGATTGCCAACCTGACAAGCCTCCTTACCTAGTCATATACTACCATCCACTTGAAAAAACTACGAGCTTGAAGTCCTTGTAATTTCACGAACACGACAGATGTCCCCTTGTAATAAACGCCAGACTTTATAATATCAATTCATGGATTCGTTATGACTAGTGATGTCCGTTAGCATCGGTTTATTACATCGATACGGAAATACCGACGGGTGTCGGATGGGGATGGTGTTTTTGGTCGGTCGTCACCAGTGATGTACGATTGTCGTAAACACCTATCCTTGGAAGAACAGATTCGCCTTAAGATGAATTCTACGCGTTCAAGCGTCAGTTGACTCTGTGCTTGAATCAGCGGGGATGTAGATTAGTCGGAAAACTATACAAGGCTATGGAGCATTGCTTAGCTGTGGTTTCAATTGGAGTTGCAAATGTAGGGATAGCAATTTTTCGTGTCTTGTTGTAGTTTTTCCAATACCATTTTTTTGTAGCTTTATGAAATTACTCTGTGACCTCGAAGTACTCAATGGACACGGTTTCGAATGTTACTACTACTTTACTGTATTAGGCCCACACAGCAGCAACTATTAATCCACGAATTGGAAAATCAGTCCGGGAAAGTACCACGGCTTCAAAGAAGACCGGCGTGGAGTGGAAGTGGTGTACTTATTAACAAAACTTAACACAGAAATTGGTTAAAACAACTGTAAATTTGAAGTTACTGATATTGAGAGTGCATCTCTATTAATATTAGTATTGACAAACTGCTAGTGGCTGGTGGCCTTTAACATCTCTATGGTTTATGGGCGTAGGTATCATTACCATGAGATCAATAAGTGCCGAAAAAAAAAAACGTGCACCCGTAAGAAGTTATACTTCGTTACCGTAACAAAAGATAAATTATTAAAAATGTATTGTGTAGTATAGTGTAGTAGTATTGTAGCCAGAAGATACTCTGTTTGTGAAAAAAAAAAAAGACATTATATGCAATTGATAACTCAATATAGTATATATACACAATAGTATATTTAAATAACTTGGAATTGTAGGAAAATGCCTAAAAGTTGTTATTTGTTGCCACGTTAATGTCGTGAAATTGGCTTTTTGGCTGTACATGTGCGCGCGTAGCGTAAAAATTTTACTCGCATAATTTTTTCCAAATGCGCCAAAAGAAGTTTAACTTCAATATGCATTTTTTACTAACGAAAAACAAAACGACTTCAACTATCTCGCTCTGTATTCATTTTATAATTGATTTTCAAGAGTTCCCCATGTATCTCCGGAGCCCAAGCTCCAATATCAACGAAATTAATATGGGACCACATGGGAAGCAACAGCTTTCAAATAAAAAAAAGGAATCATCAAAATCGGTTCACCAACTCAAAAGTTATGAGATAACAAACATAAAAGAAAATACATTCGAATTGATAACGCTCCTATCGAAGTCGGTTAAAATATACAAAAACATATGCCTAATGTAAAACTATCGATAGACGGCTACGCGCATCACTATTGCTGCGACAGTTCGCGCTTCCGATAGGCGGCGGACCAACGCGCGGGCGCGTGTGACATCACAGCGGCAGATGGCGCGCCGTGCACTCAAAGGGCACCAACCGACCCGGTTTCGCACGTGTACCAACCTCCCGACTATCATCGTCCAGTCCGACAAACTGGCGCAACTAATCGTGAACATTACGCCATTAGAGAATCCCTAACCGCACGTATTTTAAATTCACATCGCATGATGCCTATGATTCGATTTCATTGTGAAATAAGTGCTACCACATAATTATAAATAGCTAAAGGCAAGACGACCCCTATGTCAAGAGGTTTCGTTATTATGTTTAGTAGATTTAGTTGACAAGCTTTATTATCAACTATCAGCCCGCGATTTCATGTAAAATAAAAATAAAATAAATAAAATTTCTAAAATAAAAGTAGCCTAAGTTACTCCTCATTACATTAGCTATCTGCCAGTGAAAGTACCGTCAAATTCGGTCCAGCCGTTTCAGCCGGAACAAACAGACAGACAGACAAAAAATGACAAGATTTTAAAAATGACTATCGATAGATGAAATGTATACTTCTTACTTCGATAAATAAATTTGACATGATTTGACTTCATTGTGTTGCTATGATAAAGCGCGGGACAAAACGACACATCAGCGAATTCATTTCAAACACCATGCGAGCAAATCAGCTATTTAAAGTTAGTTTTAGACATAAGGATAAATTAGTTTTAACAGAAAAGCAGCCAGAATTCCAAGTACAGTTACGGCGTAATGAACTAACAAATCACTCGATGAGCAATACAGAGCAGAGCTGTCGCATACATTTTAATTTGTTTCTTAGTCATAATAGTTACCGCTAACTAAATAAACATCATCGGTGACCTTATTTCTTGACAATAATGGTCAAGGCCAAGCTGTTGTATCTCGGACACTATTACTGACTATCTTCCAGACATAATAGTCAAGTTTTTGCGTCTTGGACACTATTGCTGACTAACTTCTAGATATAAATGGTCAAGCTATTGTATATTGGACACTATTGCTGACTAACTTCTAGACATAAATTGACAAGCTCTTGTCTCTTGGAAACTATTGCTAACTTGTAGACATAAATATTCATTGCGTCTTGGACACTATTGCTGGCTAACTTCTAGACATAAATAGTCAAGTTCTTGCGTCTTGGACACTATTGCTGACTAATTTCTAGACATAAATCGTCAAGATCTCGTATCTTGGACACTATCGTTTACTGGCATGACAATGGATAATGATGATGGATATATGGTAGCGGAATACAAAACTGGCCAGCACTTGATTGCCAACCCACCAGATGTAAGTGGCGATGCAGCCTTTGATGGTAAGCGCGCTAGCTCAGTAAAAACCTATTCACTCTTGCCTAATTGTGACACCACGGATGCCTCAATTGTTTAAGCCTCATTTTATTACTTAAAAAAAACATTGCCCTTACTGTAGGATAACATTATCCCGTGTTGTAAGGACGTTTTAAAAACATAAATATCACATGGACAAACACCCGGATCCGCAACTATCTGCGGGTCACGCAAACAGTTGTCCCGTGTGGGAATCGAACCCTCGACGCTGAAGCGAATACCTTGGCAACTGCGCCACGGAGTCATCGTCTAAAATTCTAAATGCCATTTCGCTTCATGTTTAGGGTCCCATAAACAAATCGGGCCTAAAATTTGTGTGAAGCGTACATAACATATATTCCTAAGTACAATTTGTGCGGTAGTAGTACTTAATCAACAAGTAAGTGTAATGTTTCTATATTGAATAAAAAAAATTGATTTTGGACTATGCCCTAATAACCATCTATACCCTTAGGTAGACCCTTTTCTCAACAGTGGAATATAATATGTATATAGGTTGTTACTTGACATCGATAATCATTCCGGGCGTTGTGATTTTCTAATAACGATAAATAACTCTAATTTTGGAAATGCGACAAATTGATTTTTGTTAGTTAGAAATTTAAAGAACAAAAATTGGCCAAGTGCGACTCGTGCGAGAAGTGTTCCGTATCTATAAAAACGGCAAAAAAATCATGTTTGTTGTAACGGAGCCCCACTCAAATATTATTTTTTTTAGTATATGTTGCTAAAGCGGCAATAGAAATCTGTGAAAATTTCAACTGTCTAACTATCACAGTTGATGAGATACAGCCTGGTGACAGACGGACAGACAGACAGCGGAGTCTTAGTAATAGGGTCCCGTTTCACCCTTTGGGTACGGAACCCTAAAAAACTATGACTCGACATGTCGACGAATTGATTCGTTGACCTTAAATCGCGAAACGTAACTACGCCGGCCGTTACAATAATAGAAATACATTTATCAGGCGTTTTAACATTTTTTCGTCGTAATTTACTCGGAAACTTTCACCGGCACTCTCGCCATTAAAATATTACTCGCGCTGCGGTGCAAATAAAGTGATACGTTTGGAACGTTTGAAATATTAATGCATCTACGAGATTTTTTTTATGCGAAAAGTTGTCAAGAGAGCCGGCGGTTCACCTGATGTTAAGTGATTACCGCCGCCGACGGAAATCTGCAACACCCGGGGGCTCGCTAGATGCGTTGTCAACCGTTTTAAAAATTGCGCCCCGGCTACCTCAGTCGCCGGGCGAAAAGCGAAAGTGTAATACTTCTACTTCACGCGCGCCGGTTTTATGGGGCCGTGGTAGTCCCCAAATGGGGCTGCCCATTCGTGCAACAGTAGAAGGTGCGTCGGAGTAAAACGTATGAACACGGGATATGTAATTATATTCGTAAACGCCTCGTCTGTGTAATACTATGTATACGCAGGTGCCATTCTTGGATGTACCAAACTATCACGAACACGAAAATAAATATTTTTAATTGGTATCATTTATAACCTAGCAACCCCGCTTCGCTCCTGCTGCCATTGAAAGTTTAAAGTGAAAATTAAAATTATATACACAATAGTCATACTTCATAGCAATCTTTTAAAAGGGGACGGGAAGAAATGCAAAATCTAGTGCCATGCTTTTTCTTTAAGAGCAACTGATGCAATTGTATTATAATTGATGCTTTTGCATTATAACTATAGGTATTGTGACAGATGCTTTTTTTTTTATGCGAAAAGTTGTCAAACGAGCAGACGGTTTACCTGATGTTAAGTAAATACCGCCGCCCATGGACATCTGCCACACCCGAGGGTTACAGATGCGTTGACAACCTTTTGAAAATTGGGCTCCGGCTACCTCACTCACCAGGCGAAACGCGAAAGTATTTTTCATACTGTCACTTTACGCTGGTCTTCTGTGAGGTCGTGGTACTTACCCGGACGGGCCTGCCCATTCGTGCAACAGCCGAGGCTGCTGCGTGGCCCTACCACCGTAAATGCTAGTTTAGAAGCCCCTACTGTTGGTCGTGGCAGGACCGCGCAGCTGCCTTTGCTGTTGTACAAATGGGCTCTTGCGCGAAAGTGATCCGTCCTCACAGAAGACCGGCGTGAAGTAGGAATATTGCACTTCTGAGTATCTAGTACGGTTACGGGTTCCGCTTATCAAAAGGTGGCAAAGCATCTTCAAGTCCACGGATGTTTTACATATGGCGGTTATTACCTAACATCTGGTGAACCGCCAACTAGCTTGCTACATTTGACGGCCCGATTGGTGTAGAAGATAGACCGATCTGTTGCTCTAGAGGTTGTGGGTTCGATCCTCACTATTGGAAGAATATTGTGTGATGCTCATAGTGTACTTCTAGTGTCTGGGTGTTTATCTCTCTAATATGTATTTATTATGGATATGAGAGTATGTTTAAGTTATGTTTATCAATTACTTACTATCCATACTACAAGCTTTGCTTAGTTTAGTACTAAGTAGATAACGTTGTGTGAAAATATATGTCCTGATCTTTATTATTATTATTCTCACATGAGGATAGAATTTAGAGTAGTTTTTTGGAGTGATAAATTAAATTTCGCGTCCCGTACATTGCACAATTGACACGTAACCTTCGCGTGTCGTGCCACTTAATTGCACTGACGCGACGGCTACACTCGGCAACCGCGACACGGCAAATCGACACGCCCCAAAACGTAATTGATTCACTCACGCTTAAATACCGCCTGCCGGTATCGAAGATATTGACATTTACAAAACTCATATGCTGAACTAAACAGGGAACGGAAAGTCAGGTGTTTTCATGAACGGGTATGTGGCAAGGGGGTTGGCGGTTCACCTGATGTTAAGTGATAACCGCAGCCCATGGACGATTGTAACGCATTCGTTGCCATCTTATAAAAAAAACAGGTTCCGGTTACCTCACTCACCAGACGAAACGCGGAAATATTACACTGCCACCCGGTCTTGTGTGGTCGTATTACTTCCCTAGACCGACCTGCCCATTCTTGCAACAGCGGATACTAGCGTGGCCCTGCCACGGGTCCTCACTGTATGAGTTTTTTATTATCGAAACATCATAGGTAAGCCACTCCTACATATTTTAACACTCGCTGAATTTTACACATATTGTCGACACAAATGACACGACAACGATTTTAACTTGCAAATAATCCGACAAACTAACAAATTGTCAACTCAAACAGAGGAGTTACTGCGGTAGGTCCATGCTAAAGCTTCTTTAAAAGAATGGTTCCGTACCTTAAAAGGTGAAGAAAGGAACCCGTATATAATCACTCTCTTGTCCGTCCGTCTGTTCTGTGTCACCACCGATTTTCTCAGAAACGAGTGGACCTAGCAAGTTGAAATTTATACCAGATATTGAGGTCTGTAGTCCCTATTAGGTGTAGTAAATCAAGATCCTGAGTCAATATGAAAAAAAGATATGGGCAAATTTAGATTTTCGCGGAAACTTTTAACATATACCATAATTTGCCTTAATTTTCAACTTTTTATTTTTCGGAATTTTCCCATTACTTATTATAAAAGACCTTGCATTTAACCAAAATCGACAATTCTAAGTCAACCGGAACTACCCTATAGGTTTTGGGCCATAAACCTATATGGGAGTTCCCTTTGACGATCGAAAATTCATCACGATCACGAAATTTGGCAAAAAGCGAGGTCTTACAGCACAATTAAACGACAATGAGATATCTTGGACTTCATAAAAAATACGCGCGTCGCAATCTCAAACATACGCGAGATTCTTACAACGAAACTGGCTTCGCGAACTCTACGTTGAGTCAGCGGTGTGCGCGCGAAAAAAATCACTTCCTCCGCGCTTCCGGCACCGGTGAGCTCACGTCGGGTGAGTCACGGGGCGACGCACCCGCCGAGGCCCGCTCATTTGGACCGTATCTAGCTCGCGAGATGAAGCAGCACCGGTTCCGCGACGGACACCAGGACCAAACTTTTAGGGTTCCGTAACCATAAAAGTAAAGTAAAGTAACACCCCATACTTCCATATCTATCTCACTGCTGGGCGAAGGCCTCCTCTTTTACAGAGGGTATCAGGGCATAGTGCACCACGCGGCCCCACTTCGGATTGGCGGACTTCACATCTTCGAAATATTTTTTTTGTTATTTCGAAAATATGCAGGTTTCGTCACGATGTTTTCCTTCACCGTGATCCGAGCGCGTGATAGTCAGTACTTAAAATTCACAATTTCATTGGTGCCGGCACCAGGGAGCGAACTCAGGTTGCTCGAGTAAATTGAATTAAAGGCGAGCGCCAGGACACTGAGCTATCACGGCTCATATCCCACCCATATATCGGGTAAAACGGGACCCTAATATTAAGACACCGCTGTATGTCTCTCCGTCTGTCACCAAGCTGTATCTCTCGAACCGAGAGTTTGACAGTTGTAATATTCACGGATGATGCATTTAAAAAAAGACTTCCTTAATAAAGGCTCGAATATTGATTTTGATTATAACTGATTTCTATAATCTAGTGGACATCCTGTGGACAAAATTCTACCATAATTAATTTAAATTATAAGTTTGACTAATTTAAATTATAAGTTTGTATTCTCCATTACAATACACCATAAACAAAAGAGTACCTATAACATGCGTGTGTGTGTCAAATACATGGTAGTGTGTGTAATGTTTTCTATATTTATTATGCATAATTAAAAAAAAAATATTAGCATTCTGCACTCGTCTCAATAAACTATAAGTGTGGGAAATTTCATACTCCTCCGTCCGCGCAATTTTCGTAAAAAATGGTACAAAGTTTTTGCTTGACGTATCATATACTATAGATAAGAGGAACACCGTCGGCCTGTACTTTCGCTTATTACGGTTACTAATTATTCACGTCTCATCCGCAGATATAGACTGAACAAGGACGTCGTACCACGCCGGTCAACCTTTAGGCATTTGTGGTCGCCTAATAGTATCCTTGTATTCAAATAATAGTCTAATAGTCACCTTGTATTCAATACTATACTAGACATCTTTGACGCCTGCATTGTCGGTGTTAATTATTGAACATTCGTTTTAAATACGCTTGGCATATGTAACGATTAGATAAGAGGGTGACTTTGCTGAAATTCGTATTTCTAATCAAGAATCGGTTATGAGATATTGAAACAAATTTTTTTATGTGAAAAGTTGCCAAGCGAACAGACGGTTCACCCGATGTTAAGTGAATATAATCTTTTGAAAATTGGCTCCGGCTACCTCACTCACCAGACGCAACGCGAAAGTATTATACTTCCACTTTACGCCGGTCTTCTGTGAGGTCGTGGTACTTACCCGGACGAGCCTGCCCATTGCTGCTGCGTGGCCCTACCACCGTGAAAAATTGGGGTTTCTAATATTTTATACATACCTTACTATTTTATGCATACCAAAATTAGCAATTCAACTTACGATAACAAACAGACGTTTTATTATGAAATTTGACCAATACATAGTAGTAGAAAATAAAGTAAGATAGATTTGTGAAAAAAGGACAAAATTTTTAGCCGCTACAGGAATTGAACGCACTTACGTATTCGCGCCAAGACGCTTTAGCCACTGATCCAAACGCCACACCAACGAAATTTACAACGGCAAATTTTAATGTTTCATCTTAAGTGCAGAGATTAGCACTATAAAAAATTCAATTAAAGTATTAGCCTGTATATGTCCCACTGTTGGGCAAAGGGTTCCTCTGTACAGGCCTCTCGCGTGGACTATAATGTAATACCCTCTGAACGGTGGAGACCTTTGTCCAGCAATAAAATGAGTAAGTATATTTTGGTAATGAGTGGCATCGGGTTGTATCATTAATTACAAAAACACGAATATCCCAAGTACTAAAAGATCTCTAGTAATTATTCTAATATACTAAGAAATTAAATGTGTCCAAATTGTTTCATCGATAACGGATCACATTACGGCATACTTAAGTGAATCTAGGACGATGAAAGGGCAAGATATAAGATTAAAGGCCCATTTACACGATGCCATTTTCTTGTACATACAAGAGCAATAATTGAATGCAATAAATTGCGCGCAATAATTTGTTAGACCATTTGTTGTTTAGACCATGCAACTCATTTATTGCTTCAATTTAATTGTATACAACAGGCAAGAAACTTGCACCGTGTAAATGGGTCTTAAGTCTAAGATAGTACATGCATGTCGCACAAACTGACCAACCATACTTTCCCGTATCCATATACGTAATATGTGCATATCTACATATGCATATTTGTCGGTCAGGTGTGTTCTTGACTCGGGCCCTCCATAACGCATACCTCAGCTATCCAGTCTGATCGATACAAGTTCATCTAGGTCGACACCGCAAGCTGCCGCCTCACTATATTTTAACTTGAATTTTCTCATTAGTACAAGCGAATTATTTATAATATATGCGTTTTACAATTTTTTTTTATATAAACATTATATTTAGTAGAATAAAAAAACATTTTTCTACAAAATTTTTTGGTGTTTAATCTTAAGTGCAGAGATTAGCACTATAAAATATTTAAATTTCTAAAAAGCAATGGTGACATCTCTAGTTCGAATTATCGTTGCAAAACGATATTCGAAATTGTTTGTATGCTGGAAAGGATATAACAATGGATGCGCCAAGCATTGCTTCAAATGCTAAAAAAAAATGTATAGATAAAGGTCGTTGAGAATTTCGTCGGTGTGGCAATCAGCCGTTTAGATTAGTGGCTAGAGCGTCAGGGCGCGAATCCCAAAGATGTGGATTCGATTCCTACAGCGGTGAAAAAATGTTCGTTCTTTTTTTCTACAAAATTTTAATATGCGTTTATATTTATAAAGGTTTATATTTAAATAAAAGGAAAAAAATATTAAACCCATTTTTAAGGATGTATTAAATATTGCGCTAGACGTCTTTAATTCTGTTATATTTTCTATCGACGATCTTATTTCCATGGCAGGAAACGTCCGAGTATTATTTTTTTTGAAATAGACAATGGTGTCGTAAATTAATTTAAAATATTACACTTAGTAATTTCAGTCTAAAATGCAAATTTACGAACGCCGCGTATTATACCGGGCGTTGTTATATTTAAGTTTTTTGTAACTTCAATGTTTTTATTAAACATTGCCTTGTCGTACGAAAGTTACCCAAATTTTAAAATGTTAAAAAATTCACCTTCGGATCTGCAATTAAATGTGAAATTTACCGTATTGTATTCGTCATACGCCTCTGTTATCAGCTTAGCAAGGCCGCGCACGATGACTCGGCGAAGAAAGCGTGTTTTTTTTTTAATTTTTTGCACGTGTGATTAAACATAACATAATTCTCAGAGGTTACTTTCTCACTTTGTTTGTGTTATTAAAAAAGTTATATGAAGACGTCCGTTTCCAAAGATTTATGAAAAGTATTGGAAAGTTACAAGTGTTAGGAGCTTTTTTAATTCGGTTTTAATATTCACGTTTCATCCCTATAATGCAGTATACATATAAGACTAAAAAGTAGTATTAAAGGTTGACAAGAATTATTTGAGTTAGGTTTTTTCCTAGTCAAAATAGCTATTATATTCAAACGATAACTTTAAACAGACCTGAAAAGGGTTTTTTATCTTTCATTATAATACCCGGGTTGACTGCTAGAGAATGCCTTTGGGCCTTTAGTCCGCCCTTTGTTACCTTTTTTTTTCTTAAGGTTAGCAATAAAGCATAAATAAATATTTCGTTTAAAGCACAATAACATACTGCATAAATTAACGATAAAAGAATCGGCATCTCTGATTGACCTAATTATCACGAGCATTCGCGGAATGCTCAGCGTCTGGGATGATTCAGGTTACAAACATGTTGTTCCGTCCAAGTGCCTGTACACACGACGCCGACGTCTGTCCGTCCAACAAAAGGCAACGTCACACGCCAGCGAGCCGTGTTCTAATCGTATCTGAAGTAAGGTTGTTTGCGGCTCATCTCGTATCGACCTTTGCCTTGACAGACTTCTCCGTGGAGTCCATTGTATTAAATACGTGGTGTTTCCAACACTGTAGTAACATTATTTTCCTTATAGAGAACGCTTGATGCTCATTATGGTTTGTTTGTGACAATTTGTTGCGAGAAAAGTGCAGGTGTGTGTACGACATTACGACGAAATTTATCCAGACTGAGTGTTTGTCAACGAAATCTTATGTACTGAATCACATAGAAATTTGACCGATACAAATCATAAGGAACCAGCGCGAACTTTCTCGTCCAATTATTAGAAACTATCCACTAGGGTCCACTTTTGGCCCACATACCAGTTTAATCGATGTATTTATTAAGGATTTTGGTACAGTTTATCATTAGCATCCGACAGAGTACAAACTATTTAAATTGAACAATTGTCCGAATAAGACTGAAATCGTTAGTTCGATTGTGTGTCAGAGACGATTATTTTTTGATAAGTAATGCTTATTTATATATTTGCAGATAACGTAGCGGTTGCAAGATGAGGTCGCCATTGACAGGTGCAGCGCAGAAGGCAGCCGAAGTTTCGAGATCCCCGGGACCAAACGGGACTTTCTTCATATAAACAAACTAAAACGACAACCTATTGTCATGTGTACTTTTTAATGATTTTTACTCAATTAATGTCTCGGGTAGGACAGTTTACGTACTCATACTAGTCACTAGAGGAACATTTACTTTCGTAGTATCCACGTCTAGTCAGTAACGTAGTAAGTATAAATGTATCAGTGTGTCGCAATGTATGTAGAATTTGAATCGAACGTACTAATCGTCTGTGTGTATTACGATAATGTTAGTTGAAATTTTCCGCCTACAAAACAGTATTCAGCGGTCCGGTGTTGTTACGTAGTCCTTACGTCAAACCACCGACAGGGAAACAAAACGCCCATAATGGGACGTTTCCTGAACACCGCAACGCAACGTGACATCATTTCTGAATATACCTAATAATAATAGAATATTAAAATTTTCCTCATATATTTAGGCATTTAGAACTACAAATCAAATTCCACGTAGAAGCATTTAACATAGATTTTATAAGGTTTTCTATTACATAAAACACTTAAGCCCGTTCATTATCCAGCTTCCTAAACATTTTATGATTAATTTTTAAACTAACTTATCGATGAGATTATACTTCAGGCTTTTTAATATTGCTCGGAACTGAAAAATATGTGCATCTCGATTTTTTGTTCACGCCATGTTTTAAGTCTGTTTAAACATCGTGGTATATTAAGAATAATATACCTATATGTTTTACAAATTTTAACTAAAATTACTTTGTAAATTAAGTACCTATATTATATGCACAAAATAGTGGTTTTCTAGTCCAGTGTTTATTAACATGTATAATTTTAAGATCTCTTTACATTTATAAGTATTTTCTATTATACTAAAAATATATTAAAGTGTATTAGACAAACTAACTGCCATTTTGTTAAAATTATAAAACAAGTTAGTACTTTATAATTAATTATTAAATGTCCTTAAGACTTAGTTAATTATATGTATTGTATGTCATGTGTCCTTAAGTAAATCCGTATCGAAGACAAGCGACGCCCCAGCGGCAGAGTGGGTGGCGGTGGGCCGCCTCCAAAACCGGAGGTGTCGGTTCGATGCCCATCCGTGGGCGACTTTAAATTGTTCGCGTTTCTAAACCGAGGTTTATGAATAATTTAAAGAATACAAAAAAAGTGTGACTTACAAATATTTAAGATAGTAAATTGTCATCAGTAGATCTCAATTATATAATAATAAATCTAGTTCGGTTTTTTCGGGAATTCTTTGGAAATTGCATTACTTACATTTTGAATAGGTAATCGCAAGCTCAAATATCTGGATATTTATAATGTTAACGTTTATTTAGACTGTCAGTCTTGCTATGTGCTATAACAATATATACATGTATCAACTTCCGCCACCGAAATATATCCTAGTGACGTTACGGATAAGTTATCGTGGCCGCACATTCGTCGCCGCTTATCATAATATTGGGGCACGATAATGACTGCACTTATTGGGTTATTTTCCATTAAACATACGAAATTAGCTCGGTTATTTACGAGTATTTACACAAGTGCTAAGGAACGCTTGACGTTTCAATGTTTAGTAGCCTAGCTATCAGTTTCATTTGTAAGCCCCTGCAATGAGCTCGATCTATGTACTAGACCTTGTTTCATTGTGGGGTGTTCAGTACGCAAGTGTTTTGCGGGGACGCTTTGGTTTCGCCGGTCGTAACGATAAATATTATGTTGCATTGGGCTGTGTCGATTCTTATGTTACTAGAATATAGACATACGACCGCCAAGTCGCACTGTCGTCCTCGTATTCTTTTGTCTATGTAACTGTAACCTAGCTTAGTGTAACACGCTCTGTCAACGTTTGTAACGCACGCGCGACAGCCTTGTCGCGCCAATAAAGTAATCGTAGCAATTGGTTGTTTCAATTAATTCAATTACAATCGGGGGGCTCCGTTGCAATTGGGGGCGGACGGAGCGCGCTGGGATGTGAGTCACCGCGATATCGCTAAGGCGAGCCCGCTCGGGTAATCAAAAAAATAAATAAATAATAGTAACAAGTATAACCCGAAACGGGGAAAAACCACAAGGCGTGAATATTCAAAATCGGTTTTATTTGATAAATTTGCAAAAAAAATATGAGAGAGAAAAAAGAAAAATAGAGTTATTGTACATGTCGATTATTATTATTATTGATTGATCGATCAATTTGAAAAGATAAAAAATATACAAGTTTCTTAAATTTGCATGATATATATATAAAAATATAATCCAACTCAGATCAAGTTGTTACCAATATCCTTGTGCAGTAAACCTTACATTAACAGAAATGAATACAGAGGAAACATCTAATCCCATAACAATATTGGAACACCTATTTATAATAATTATTATTCTTTCAACAAAGTTTCCATAGCAGCAAAACATATTACAATGTTATTTTACATTAAAATGAGCCAGTATCATCATAAAACTTTAATCCATTTACAATAACGATAATTTTTTTAAATTTTTTTTTCTTTAATACTTAGGGGTTACAGTCTGTCGCTGGTGGCACAAAGTGGTACACAATATTGGGTGACACACCAATGGGTAGACAATGGAGATACTACATTTGGTGGGTGCACTCACCTAAGGCTCACTAGTATTTGTTCAAACTTACCGAGGCCTAAACAGTATGGTAGGATCAACTTTCCCTCGATACATTTGAATTATATAACAAGACAATAATATATCTGAAAAATTTAATGTATTCTTAATTATTAAACATCATACACTGGTTCAGGCCTGCCGGCACTTACTCTCCAGGCTTCCATAGAAGCTTAATAATAGCCACCTCTCATACTAATAGTTCAGAAGTTTGAAAATCTTTACAGCAATTATGTCAAGTCGCACACTAAAGGCAGACGGCAATGCAATGTTGTTGAAGACAATTGGCAACAAATTAAAAAGGAGGTTGCTCAAATTTATGACAATAGTGAAGATAACCTGAAGATAACCCAGAAAGCAAAACAATGGATATTGATCCTTAAAGCGTCTATAGGAACATGTGTACAGAAGCACATGTCTTTGTGAAAAGGCACTTGACTTCATACAGCTCTGTCAACTGAGTTCAAACAAAGGAATGCAAAAACAAATCATGCTAAACAGCAAATGTTTTATTTATACATGTTGCATTAACATATTTAACATAGATAGAATATTTTTTTTTAAATAGATCACAAGAGATTGTTCCTGTGTGTTTATTTTTTTAGGGTAATTGACATAAAGCTGTCTGCATTTAGTATTGTTGTTTTGAAACAAAAACTATTTAAATATTTTAAGTATTGATAAAAAGCAATCCACAACTTATTACTATTTTGAGTTCAAAGTAATATATTTCACATATATTTTATATAGTAATAATAATTCTTGTCGGATAACATAACGGAGGGTCTTCACATAGTATACTTAACATCATAGAATTCAAATAATAATGATTAATCATTTACCAGCCAACTTCTGAACCTAGTAACATCCAAACATACAACTGGAATTTTTTTTAGAGTGAAAAATGCACAGAGTCGATGAATCTATTCTCAATAATAAAATTGAATGAACGCACCAAATGAATTTTCTTCTAGAGAACAGAGATAAATGCTGACTCATGATGCCTGTGCATCTTCCACTCACGCCTCAGCGCTAGAACATGTAGCTCAACATATGCACATTCTCGAAATGCTAAAGATATTCGATAAGCAATGACGCTCACCCGATCTAGTTAACTTTTGGAACCATCTAGAGCCGAATCCGGGTACGAGAAGTCTTTCAAATTATTAAATATTCTATACCTAGGCGCATTGTAGCTTCCCACATTTACAAGAGGACACATTTAACAGGTCCCTTTGATGGTTTCTTGTCCTCTTTTGGCGACTTCTTGTTAATCTGTCGTACCAGATCGTAAAACACGTCGTTTACGTTAACTTTGGCCTTCGCCGAGGTCTCCATGAAGGCGCAATTGAAATGGTTGGCAAGGTTGGATCCCTGCTGTTTGCCAACCACGCGCTCTGCTTCCAGGTCGCACTTGTTGCCCACAAGGACCATCGGTACATCGTCTTTGTCTTTCACTCGAAGAATTTGCTCTCGGAGATCCTGCAAGTCATTAAACGTCGACTGTGCTGTGATGGAGTACACTAATACGAAACCTTGACCGTTCTTCATGTATAAATCCCTCATTGCAGTGAACTGCTCCGTTCCAGCTGTGTCAAGAATTTCCAGCATGCATTGTTGCCCATCCACCTCCACTTGTTTCCGATAGCTGTCCTCTATGGTTGGGTCATATTTCTCCACAAAGATGCCTTGTACGAATTGTACTGTCAGGGCAGATTTTCCCACGCCACCGCTGCCTAACACAACTATTTTATATTCACGCATAATTAACTATTTAGTAACACGTGAGTTAATTCACTTAAATCAAAGATCAAATCGCTAAGAAGCACATTAACTAGTAAGTTATTGCAAAAAAACCTTTAACCAAGTCAAACCGCCATGACACCGTTAGCAGGGCGATGTCTCACTTTTGACGAAATTGCCATTTATAAAAATTATAATTCTATTGAAAATGTTGTAAACAAATCACTTGTTTGATTTTATCGTGTTCTTGGTCAGTAAGAGCGTTTAACTGCAGAAATTTAGTGATAAGAATGATTTATAAACAAAATAAAATAATTCACAAGCAATGAGAGTAGTAGAGCAGGAAGGATAAATCAAATTATTCTATTAATGCTTATTGCGTTAACCTGCTAGGGATGCCATTCAGATCAGATTCTGTTTTAATTTTCACAGTACCACAATTGAGTTATTGATTGGATTAATAATGGTAAAGTTCTGTGTCCTAATATATTACAGCACATATTTTCAATTTATTTATTTATATATTATATTATATATTATCTATTGAGCAAAAACTATTCAATACTTTATGATTTAATTATCGTACCTGATCAGTTACTTTAAAAAAAAATATATTCCTTAAGTTGGAACTACAATGAATTTTATACCAGCAACATTAAGTACTATTTAGTTCCGTAGTAAGCGTCTAGATGACACTAGTTTTAATTTTAAAAATTCGTTTTTAGATTCAAAATAGTAGGTAGGTAGGTAAATAAAAAAATAAGATAATGTAGATTCTAGTGATGTGGAGTGATACCAAAAATTATTTATTTTGACCCACAGTGGTCGACCCACACTTAAAAGGAGTCCATTACATGTAAGCGAAAAAAAATTGGGCGTATGTGAGACGTAAGCAACTTGAATTTTGACCTTCCATTAATGGAATAAGAATAACTCCGATACGAAGATGAACAAGAAAACTAAGAGATGTCTATGCAGCAGAGCTCATATATATATATATATATATATTTATATTTATATTTCAGAATTAACACACATATTCTAATTGTAGATTACATTACAGATCATTTACTTAATAAAAGGGTGGTAGAGCCACGCAGCACCCTCGGCTGTTGCACGAATGGGCAGGCTCGTCCGGGTAAGTACCACGACCTCACAGAAATGTACCGTAAAGTGGAAGTATGACAAATACTTTCGCGTTTCGAGTCTGGTGAGTGAGGTAGCCGGAGCCCAATTTCCAAAAAGGTTGTCAACGCATCTGCAAACCCTCGGGTGTAGCAGATGTCTATGGGCCGCGGTATTCACTTAACATCAGGTGGACCGTCTGCTCGTTTGGCAACTTTTCACATAAAAAAAAAAAAAAAAAAAAAATAATAAAATGTCGCGACATGGACATGGACCACACATGAGTCAGTAAATGTATCTATGCGCGTAATTTTATCACTCCGTGAGGTCGAATCCCTTGCAAATTAATATATCTCAAAAACATTCGCTTTGTGGTCAAAATTAACTTTGAACTTGTTGAATCATAATAGGTATATACCTACGCGTAGTAGAAGCGCTTGCCTTTTTAACCGACTTCAAAAAACGGGGACGTTCTCAATTCGACTATATTTTTTTTATTTGTTACCTCAGAACTTGCGATTAACTGATCCGATTTTGAAACTTTTTTTTTTTGAAAGCTGGTATGTCCTGTGTGGTCCCATTTCGGGTTGGTCCAGTTCTGATACATTGACTCCATATATTTGTAACAGTAATATATTATTGTGGCATTAATGTCAATATGGTTTTGAACATACAATTTACTTTACTGTATTATTTTGAGATTTTAAAACGAAATGATAAATTTTGACAATTCCACGCCAGGTGCGCGGTTTTTTTTTACAAAATAATATTTCTAGAAAAAGGAAAGTGTCAGTGGACTTTATTTTCACGCAGTGTGTATGACGTATTTACGCACAATAGAGTTTTTTAGAATTTTAAACTACATAGTATTAATTAATAACTTTGTTCACATGTTACATACATGGTTGAATCAAAAAAGGAAATGTAAACAATACAATGTACATTATATTAACTTCAGTATTTCAATATTTTGTAATTTGCCTCAGTGTCATATCTACCTTATATTTGTGAATAATATCATTGGCTAAAGATCTAATTTTAAAACAAAGCCTAATCAGGTCTAAAAAATCAGACATGGCCCATTTAACATACTTATTCGAGTCCGAGATATGCCTCCCCACAGACAATCACTAAGCATTTGTGTTGTTCAGGACCACCTGTATCCTGTATGTAAATATTGAAATGATTTCAATGTAATTATTATGAAATTACTATTCTGTTTAAACAGTTCTAAATTGTTAAACCAAAACCAAAACTGTTTCAACGCCTATCATCGTAAACAGGGACAACGTTTTGTGAAGACAATATTCTTGAAACGTAGGATCATTTGACAAGTGTAATTATTCCCATACAAACGAGTGTAATTATTCCTTGTAAAATATTATATTCTTGAATTATATACACGATGTTACATTCGCATCTCAATGACCAAGTTTATTATTTAAACTTCTGCTAATACTAAGCTAATAGTTTTTTCGATAATTGTTTACCGCTAGTGGAAAATACTGTCTAAAAGCGAATGAGATATTGATTTTAGATTTAACGTATTTACATTTGAAACAGATCTTCGGGGGGAACTTCGGTGTAAGAGAAGATTGATCGATATGAAAATTAGCGGAAGGCGTCTAAGAACTTTGCTCATTTGTTAAGGCTTACGGAGTTACACACCTGGTTCTATTTATACTGCTCCGGGCAATACCGGAACTAAATAAAAAAAAATAAAACTGTCATGAACATGCGAGACAGTTTTAAAGCTTAACTGGCATCATCTGCAATGGTTTTTTCATGCCTATTAATACTAAGCTCGTCGGCCGGGCACTCGCTTTTAGTTCAATATACTCGAGCAAACTGAGTTTGATCCTCGGTGCCGGCACCAATGAACTTGTTAATTTTAAGCACTAACAGTGTTTTATTAGATATTTTTTATAGTAACGCTTTGCGTAATGATTTCGGTTAATTGCATTCGTTGCAGAAATATGTACAAAATTTAACTAATTTACATATTACATTATGTACATAGTATACAAGGCTAGTAATAAATTTGTATATTACTTATTATGCTTGTAGTCTCCATATAATTTCTTGTCGTTTTGTTCTTTGTTACTTTCAAGATGAGCTTTCACTTATCAAACCGAGGTACAAGGAAAAAGAAGTTGTTTATCGCGTCAATATTTCTATTGTTTGTGTGAATATTTTACTATTATAATATATTTTATAACATTGATATATTTTAAGAACAAAAGAATACCTATAGGCGAGGAATGCTGAAAATTATTCAGTGATTAGATGTCACACACCCACACAAACATACACTATTACTTTGAGCGCAATTTCTTTGATTTTAAGTTATACTCTTTTTAAATTCGTTATGTCAGTTAACTGTAATGTTTTGACTGTAAATTCTGTATACTACGATTTTGGCTATAAATTATATAAATGTTTTGTTAATATAAGACTTTGTTTTATAAAAGCAAATAAAATATAACTCAAGTCCGTCTTACAATCCACTAGGCCATCACCAAATGAATAAAAAACCACCTTATGCCTTAAAATGTGACATAAAATATCTCTCCTCGTGACGTACTGACGTTTTTAGCGTTCCGTACCCAAAAGCTAAAACGGGACCCTATGACTAAGACTACGCTGTCTGTCTGTCTGTCCGTCTGTTAGCATAATGTATCTCATGAACCGTGATAGATAGACAGTCGACATTTTCACAGTGACGTATTTCTGTTGCCGCTATAAAAACAAAACTAAACAACATAATAAGAAAAAAAGATTAAGGGGGATTCCATGCCGCAAACGCGAAGCGGTTGCCAGGCAACCTATAGGTATTTACGATTTTTTTTAATGTGAAAAGTTGCCAAACGAGCAGACGGTTCACCTGATGTTAAGTGAATAAAGGTTGGCTGATGCGTTGACAACCTTTTTGGAAATTGGGTTCCGGCTACCTCACTCACCAGACGAAACGCGAAAGTATTATACTTCCACTTTACGGCGGTCTTCTGTGAGGTCGTGGCACTTACCCGGACTAGCCTGCCCATTCGTGCAACAACCGAGGCTCCCGCGTGGCCCTACCACCGTAAAGCGTAAATTAGTTGACATTAGATAATGGTACAGAAACCTTCGTGCGCGAGTCCGACTCGCACTTGGCCGGTTTTTTATTAGCACGCAACACTGCTACGCCGTGCTTTTAGGGGGGTGCGTCGCGTAAAGCCTCCGTCGCAATTCACAACCGACACGCACTCGCGCGTGAAATTACCAAATTCAATATTATATTATTATTAGCACTCACGCGGCTTATCTGATGCGTACTTTTATATTTTAACGCTCATGCGATCCGTTCATGCAAATCCTTACTAATGTTATAAATGCAAAAGTTTGTATGTATGGATGGATGTTTGTTACTCTTTCACGCAAATACTACTGAATGGATTCTAATGAAACTTTACAATAATATAGTTTATACATCAGAATAAGACATAGGCTATAATTTATATACTGGCTTCGGCGTCAGGGTCGTGGGTTCGATTCCTACACGGGACAACTATTTGTGTGATCCACAGATACACAGAGTTGTTTCGCATCTGGGTGTTTGTCCGCGTGAAATTTATGTTTGTAAAACGTCCTTACAATAAAGGATAATGTTATCCTCAAGTAAGGGCAACGTTTTTAAAAAACAAATAATAAATAAATAAAAATGAATATACATATTTTTATGTGTATATACACTTTTCGTCTTTCTGTCTCAATGTTACGTCTTAAGGCTTTCTACGCAGACGTAGTCGCGGGCCGCAGCTAGTGTAATAATATGTCTGTAAGAACTCCTCTTATGAGCTCGATGCCTCCCTCAGTTTGTACTCGGTACAATAATTTCTTATATTTACGCAGGCAAA